GATTCATTTATGTACCTGTTTTTAAACAATTGAATTAAAACTTTTCCGTAATAAATGAAGACTAGCGATGTTTCCAACAGATGCAACCATGCTCATTTACTATAGCAGCCATCTTGTCTAAGTTTTATTTTTATAAGCTTTTAGCGCCAGATTCAGGGGGAAGTCACTCTATTTTACAAATGGCTGCTGTTTATATAGCAAATCTTGCTCTCAGACACTGCTGTTTAAAGTTAATTTCTGGCCTATATCGATATATTTAGCCATTAATTTAGGTTTATTATTCATTTATCTATAATATTTGACACAAAAGTATGACAACATACTTCTATTAAAGCCTTGACAATGAGGTAACGTTTTCGTACATAAATAGCCGCGGGCGATTTTACGTACCCAAAACGATAGATTACCAAAATTAAAAATAGTTTTAAAATATAGATCTAGAATCTAGTAGCAGTAGGCCCTAATCTAAAATTTACGTTATTTTCAATTTAAACATGACCACTGAATATAATTATAATAGACAATTTAATCCATTAGGCACTAATTTTGAAGTTTTTAGTTCGTTTAAAACTAAATTAGTCTAAAATTAGGCCTACTTAATTAATATTTATTGTCACTCTGTACCATGGACACACCTCTCCATGACAACACATGTTAATAGGGTTGTCGGCATCCGCCGAGTTTGCGGTAAAAACATGACCCGAAATCGCCGATTACCCGTCTTTCTGATACCGGACCCACGAGATTTGGTTTTGCATACTAATAAGTTTTTAATTTATGGTAATTAATTAAGTTTAAAAGGTCATTTCCTAAGATTAATTAAAAAGTAGAGTGGTTGTCCCTTAGTTTTAATGGCTTTGCGACCTGATTGCATGCTGTCTCTGCTTTGGTCTTCCCTCTGTATCAAGGTTAGTTTCAAATACGTTGGAATCTCGATTTTTTAAAAGATTCCTCTAGATGAGAGTAGATTACTGATCAGACATATCTTAAGTATGTGGAAATGAAATTTGTTTTTGGATATTTTGACTCCGACATTAGTTATACTCCTCCGAATGTAGTCACTGTATGTAGGTCACGCTGCCACCATTGTTATATTTTTTCATCCCGATCTTCCGGCCTTTAAGTTTGATCAACTAATAACAGCATTCTTATGGCATGTGCAAACAAATCTAATTTTTTATTTCAAAATATATTTACATACCCATCTTTAATTTTTTCAGCTCTAGTTCTAGTTTTGCAGAATATGTTTTTCCTAAAATCCAATTTTGTCAGACTAGACTGACAAGAGTCAGACCTAGATCTAGGTTACCTGTCTGTTGCTATACACTAGCATTGTGCTAACTGTAATTTTAAGTATTTAAGTTCTACTTACCCTTAGATATAGTTATATGCTGAAAATCAGAATCCATACACAATTCACTCATAAAAACATTGATCTGATAACTTCATTTCACTTATTACAAAATGGCTTTTATATGGACTCTACTTCACCTGCCCAAAAAAAACAAGGCAGTTATAGACACATTACAGTGTTCAAGTCATTTACTTTAGATTTCTGACCATGGAGTTCTTTCATTCACTGTATTTATATAAAATATTGCTTTAGAAACATTTTCCTATTTGCGCAGCAGTTTTATAACAAAATGGCTTAAAGCTGGACTCTACTTCACCTGCCCAAAATAATGAGGCAATTATATGCACATAACAGTGTTCAAGTCATTTACTTTAGATTTCTAACTTTGTAGTTCTTTCATTTGCTGTATTTATATAAAATATGGCTTTAGAAACATTTTCATATTTGCGCAGCACAGTTTTTTGGGGTTATGGGAGGAAGCCAACACAAAAATATAAGTTCTGTATTATTTTTATTCATTTCAACAGCATTTACAGGTTCTATATATCATTGTAGTTAAACTCTGCAAATATGAACAAAATACAACTTCAAGTAAAATAACTATGCTCAATTTATTCAGGTATACCATGACTTGTCACAATTGGCCAATGCAAAAGCAAGGGGATTCCACCCCTCACAAAAAAATTCGCTAAAAAAAAACTATTTGAGCTAGACAGAAAATCTTTTTTGTTTTGTTTTCATATAGTTGAGCTCTACAAGACTATGTAATTTTTATTTTTATATGATGATTAGTGTTTTTTTACCAAAATCCCTATTGTTAATGATATTATATTATATCACTCTTACGAGTCTTACGTAATACTAATACGTTTGAGGCCACGACAAACCACAAATCGGTTCGACTTTTTAATTGGCTATGCAACAGAGTTCCTCACAAGTGACGAACCAAAAAGCGGTCACCAGGTTTTTTTTATTTTTAAAAAAAAAGTTGGTTATGATATGAATGCCGGTCTTATAAAAAAACAGCTCACAATATTTGATTTCTTTTTTCATAGACTAATAAAACTAATAATGCTTTACATTCTCGCTCATTTTTGTTCCTACACTGTTGATATTTTAAAAGGTCTAGTAATTTTAATGAAACCAACTTTTAAATTTAGCCTCCATTCTCTAAACCAAATTTTAAAATGCTTTTCTGGCATATATAGCCCTGCCTGCCCCCCTATGGTGTGTTTTTATAACGCGAAAACCCCACCATTTTGCTTGTCATCATCATCATCATCATCATCATCACTCCTTTATGGCCCCTGGGGAGCAAAGGGCTGCAACCACACATCTCCAGCGGACTCGGTTTTGGGCTGCTCCTCTGATCTGTGCCCATGAGAGCCCAGCTGTTTTTGCCTCTTCCTCTACCGTTCTCTTCCATGTAGATAGAACAATATCTGTGGAAGCTTTGAGGGCAATATTTTTGCCAAATTCGTTTTTGACGATATTTTAGGCGAAGTATGCAAATATTAAGGAAAAGAAAACTGTAAATCCTTGTTGTGAGCATTTTAAAAACAGGAGTTAGAACAGACTGGTTCTGTGGAATCCATAAGCTTTAAGCTGGGACATTTAGAATTATAAGCAAATAGCATAAGCAAGGCTATCTATAACTTGATGATATCACATTAACTGTTTTACTTACATACTACTGTACATACTTCATATAATATTAATGTTTCATACATGCAATAAGATTATTATTTGCAGAAATACAACTCATACAATTGATCTGAAAATGTATCCTGACCAAACCTGATGTAATTCTGTAATACCTGAATTCTTTTTAGACCAACATTAATGTATAGAAATACACATAGTAGGCTGTATTAAAGAAATTAAATTTTAGAAACTATTTATTTTGTCATGATTGATTAAAAATAATATTCCCTAACATTCCAGATTTGGATAGAGACACTGAGTAGATCTCCCTACAATGCCTCCGAAATTCGCCAGAATGCCAGACAATACAGATTTTTCTAGGTCTCATGATGCTGAAAGAGTAAGAGCAATTCTAAACTTAGAAGATTTTTTGAAAATCATACATGTGAAGCTGTAAAGTGTTTCCCAACAATTTTTGTCCTCAGCTTCACCTAAATTTTTCCCCATCATCTTTCAAAAAGTAGATTATATTCATGCCAAGCTTCATGCTTGTTTGATTAAATTTTTATTTGTCCACACATGATTTCAGAGAGGATTACTTGATGGAAATTCTGATGACGAAGACTTCTTCTTAAAGTAAGTTGTTCAGTGTTAGTCTCAGTTATTAAAATGCAACTTTCTGGCTGCAAACAACTTTAACAAGCATACACACTTTGTGTTTGTTGTTTTAGATACTTAATTTTTACTTTTGTTATGTGTTTGTTTGGAAATATTTGTATCTGTTTCTTTATTTTTTTTCATTTGTGTGTGTAATAAAGCAATATATTTTGTTTTATTTTGCTAGAAACTTTTAGTTAACCTTTGGAATAATACCTAGATGTTTTGATTTACTTTGCTATAAACTTTTAATTAACCTTTTGAATAATACTTAGATGTTTGGATTTATTTTGCTCTTCTGTGTATTCTCAGGGGACCAAATGTGAATACCAACAAACTTCGCCCAGATCCAAAGATCAACAAGTGAGTTCTTGTTAGATTTTCTACCACCACTTTGATGAACATGCTATTTCTAAAACCTATTACCTTAAACCAAATGAGCATGTTGTGAATAATACTTTGAAATCAACTATAATGGGTGGACTTGCTGTATTTCTTCTATACGATTAGATGAGTAAACACGACAAACTGTTGGTTGAGGTGGATAAAAGCAATATTTAAGAAACTGTTTCTTTTCACAGGCTACAAGGCCAAGTAGAGGATGTGGTAGATATCATGAAGTCAAATGTCAACAAGGTTATAGAGCGCGGGGACAGGTTGGAGGATCTTCAAGACAAATCAGGTTTGTTATTATGTTAGTCTTTGCAGTTTAAAACATATTTTTGTATTTTAATTTCATTTCTGTCTTAGCAGTATTAGATGGGTCTATGTATTTTCATTAAAATAGTCTATAGTCTAACATTGTTTTATCCTATTATTACTATACTCTTAGTTTGAAAAAGCTGATCAGATATTAAGTGTGAATGGTATATCATTCTAGACTATATTTAAATAGTTATCTAAAAAAAACCCATTATTTCTGTAAGTTACAAATTTAATATAGAGTTATGAAATTATCTTACAAATAAAAAAACTAAAAACTGTTTCTCACGTTTAGCTATCCTTTTATTGGATATTTTCCTACCATTGGATACTCATCATAAAGTATATGTGACATCTGATATCATTTGTTTCATTGCAGAAAGCTTATCCAGTCACTCTGATATGTTTCGCACAAGAGCTAAAAATCTACACAAAAATATGTGGTGGAAAAACTGCAGGGTAAGCATGTAGCTAGATTGTTATCTCTTGACTTATAATTTATTTTTAAATTCTGAGCAATAATTTAGAAAATTAATTTAAAACAAACCTATTACAGATGCAGATGTTTTATTTCCTGGTTTCTGATTTATCAGTAAATACACTCTGGATTTTTACCCCTTGACTCTATGTTTAAAAACAAGCAGGAATAATAGAGTTTATATCCAAAATTTTAATATATATATATATATCCTTCTAAGCAAGCTGCGATTTGTAATGGGGTTTTGTAGGTTGTCCCTTTGTCCATTCACTGGTCAAGCTAGGGTTTTGGCTGTAGTATGTGGGTTGTCCTTCTATCCATTCACTGGTCAAGCTAAGGTCTGACTAGGCTGTAGGGTGTCAATCCAGCTCCAAACCTCTATACCCTGACTCAGCATAAAATCTTGTCACATTACCGCTCTCTCACAGCTGGTGTACTGAAAAATTTCTAAAATGTCATTTTTTTTTCTCTAGAAATCAACACAAAACACATGATATGCTACAAAGTTGTCTCTTTTAATATAACGTTCACATTTTTCCTCAACAGATGAGGATAATTCTTGCCGCTGTATTAGCTTTGATCATCACCATTATTATCAGTAAGTTTTTTACAATTTTATATCTGTAACTTATGACCCAGCTTATTAACTTTTTTGTAAATTTTTAGACTTCATCTTTTTGTACTAAAATAAGAATTTACCCAAGTGCAAAGACAGGCCAGCTTGTTTGTTAAGAGTGAAATAATTTTTATTTTATTTTCAGTTATTGTGGTTGTCCATTACTCAGGCTCAAGCTGAGTAAACAAAAAAAAGGGAAGCTACTGTATTGGATGTGATAAAGGGAGATAAGTTCTGCTGATGGAGTTGTTGAAGATTAAGTGAGTGTGTAAAGCAATGACTATGGATACTGGAATTTGTTGTATAAATTAATCTATTTAACAGCGACCAGCATTTTTACTAAGTAATGCAGATTTTCTTGTGATGTGTAATTCTATCTTTATAACTGATATTTTTGAGCCCATTTAAGGGGTGTAAATTTTAAGTTAATTAGAAATATATTGAAACTAATTTTTAATTAACATAACTTTCGTTACAATCAGAAATATAAGCCTTTTAAATTTAATTGAATATATTATTTTAGATTTAAAGCATTTTTGTAAAATGAAATTCTTAAGTTATATTTCTCTTACAGATTTTAAAATATAGTTGTAAAGATGTAAATTGTTTGTGTACATATTTTTATTTGGACCAATTTAAAACTGTTCATGTTTGATGATTCAATGAAGATGACCTGTGCATTTGGTAAAGCTGAGTTAGGGTCATATCCAACTCAGCAGCCAAGGATCTTTAAAACCATACATCTCAACAGATATTTATGAAGTGAAATTGTGTAAGATCTGAACTCACTCTAACATTGTTTCTCAGCTATGTTCTTTTTGGGGACTACAGAGATGTGAATACACATTTTGGTATCCAGAATGATTTCATTTTACCAGTATTTTTTACATAATTTATAGAGGCCTGTGTCTAAACATTTAAAAGAGATAATTTACACTGCTCCCTTTCCTGCCTTTAGATACTCCATTAGGGGACTTAACCCCTGAGAAGCTACTTCTGTTGTAGGAACAAAGTCTAGACATGAACTAGAATAATTATGATAACAATACAATAGTCCTTTTTTTAAGTTTGAGAAAACACTTTAACATTTATGCCAAAATTTTTATCTGGTCAAGTAATTATTTTTTTATCAAGCCTTGCTGTGGTTGATTATGTTTTATCTTAAAGACTTAACCCTTTAAGAAGCTACTTCTGTTGTAGGAACAAAGTCTAGACATGAACTAGAATAATTATGATAACAATACAATAGTCCTTTTTTTAAGTTTGAGAAAACACTTTAACATTTATGCCAAAATTTTTATCTGGTCAAGTAATTATTTTTTTAATCAAGCCTTGCTGTGGTTTATTATGTTTTATCTTAAACAGCTGTTTTAATTAATGCATTTTTTTGTTGCAATAGGGTTGTGTCTTTCCTCATGCAAGAATTTTACGCTTCCTTTTTAAAAAGTTCTTTAATATTGACGGGACAAAGAGTATTTTTTTCACTTCTCTTTTTAAGTTATCATGCGTCTATTTTTAAAAATTTACTTTTTAAATAAATGGAGACTAAATAAATATTTGATCCTCAAGCAACAAACATGCTTGTCATCAATAAAAAGATTGTTCAGTCTGATAAGTCATAAATTCAAAATCTTTTTATTTGTATTTATTCCTTTAATACTTCATTTTCCACTTGTCTTTGAGGGCTTAACAAGGTAGGAACCATATTGAAATATAATTGAATAATGTTATTATACTTGCATAATAAAAACAGATTTAAGATTAAAACAAGCCACATGCAAACCATATGCTGCTATAATTAATGAGATTTTATTGCATTTATGTTCTTATTTGCTCTTGCTAGCAGTCTGTAAATAATGTTTGCATTTGCTACCAGTTTAAAAACAATGCTTGCTGTCTTTAGCGGGTTTACAATTTATTGCTAGCAGTTTAAAAACAATGCTTGCTGTTGCTAGCAGTTTAAAAACAACATTGTCTGCTGTTGTTAACAATTTAAACAATTGGTGTTGCTAGCTGTTTAAAAACAAGGCTTACTGTTGCTAGCAGTTTTAAAATATTGTTTTCCCATGTTGGATAACCTAAAATTGATGACATTTATTCATGTGAGATGTATTTAAAAAACAGAATTTGTCAATGATGGTCATATAGGCTAATTGATGTTTTGGATCTGTCAAATGTTTTTGTTTGATGTTGTTATATGTACATCACATTAATAAATTAATGGGGCTTTGTAACCTTTTTATGTGTGATCTTCTTCTTCTTCTTCGTTCTTAATTATTAGTGTTGAAGGGGATCGAGATTTATCTGCCAGTGGGTTTGAACATGAGACTTTGTTCGAATTTATCAACCATGAGCTTTTTGCCGACTCGACCACGCCTCCAACACAATTAAGCGGTACGTGTCAACTGGTTATGCGCCATTGAGGCCATTGACTCCGATTTCAGCCTGCTTTTCTTTTTTGGATTTGCTTCCATAGCCTTTGTCCAACCAAGAACAAACTACAAGGCAGCAGTTGTTTGATTTTGGAGTTGTCTCTCCTAGAAGAGTGGCTGTCCCCAGCTAACGAGCCTCATCTGCCCGAGGGTTCGAACTCGAGACTTTTCGGTTTAGCAACCATGAGCTTTACCGACTCGACCACGCCGACCCCTTATGTGTGATAAAAGTCCCAGTTTAGCCCATGTTATTTACTTGCTAAAGTCACTGTCTTAGCCAGTTATATTTCCATCCTTTGTCCTGCGAGTGTCTTCAGTTTTTATTCTTGTATATAAAAAAAGTTCATTTAATACAATGCAAGGTCAGCATTTGGCAACCTGTTCTGAATAAAGACCAGTAAAGATTTTCTATTAGGAGCTGCACATGTTCTTCTGATACTTTATGATCTATATTCAACTTAATGTTTTATTTGTGTTTATTAATTAACTTGTGAGTTCAAATCAATTTTCAAAACAAAACCTATCATTCAAAGAGCTCATTCAACTCTAGAGATGTGGGTTGACAGATTGCCTGCCGTAGGTTAAAAAACTGCACATAATAATTTATGGTGTTTTAAAGTAGTGCAATATGTTGTAGAGTATTTATTGTAAATTAATGTGTTTCTTTTATGCTTCCAAGTTTGGGTTTTAAAAAAATTGGTTGAAATTTAAAATTATTGTTTGTGCTGCCTCATGGGGTCTTGTCCAGTTGATTTTAATTATCAACAATAAAGATTTTTCTAAAAATGTGAATTTGATTTTCTATTCTGTTTAAAATAGAACAATTATTTAAGACCTGATCTGCAAGAAAGCAGCACAGCAGGCTATTTCCTTTCCTTAGGTTACGTAAAACCAGTACTTTGCTTAGTATCTCCCTTGTCCCATATATAAGGTCTGTCAATTTAATTTATCTTATTTGTTAGTTTTTCAATATAAATGATACTTACATAGGTAAAATCATACTGGAAAATATTTGAAATCAGAATATGATTATCATCTTTAGCTCGATTTTTAACACCTCGTGAGAGGTCACATTTTATGTAAGTTAAACTACACTTGCTAATGTTTGACTAGCTACTCATTTGCAACAAAAAATGTAATTCTACATTCTGCAAGTATGGCTGAAAGGGAAAAATCAACTACTGCTTGGATAAAATATTTGTTATTACTGGCTAAAATTAATTAATCAATTGGAAGAAGTTTAGAGACAAATAAATGCATTGAACATAGAGGATTTTATTGTCAACATTGTACAAATAAATGGAAGGTGGTACAAGAATGTGTAGCAGTAAAAAATTATTTACTGTATGTTACATTGAGCATTTGTGGGCATACATAGCTTTTTCTTCCTATTGTTAAAAACCAATTCACACACACACATATATATATATATATATATATATATATATATATATATATATATATGTATGTATATATATATATATATGTATATATATATATATATATATGTATATATATATATATATATATATGTATGTATATATATATATATATATGTATGTATATATATATATATATGTATGTATATATATATATATATATATATATATATATATATATATATATATATATATATATATGTATATATATATATATATGTATATATATATATATGTATATATATATATATGTATATATGTATAGATATATATATGTATATATGTATAGATATATATATGTATATATGTATATATATATATGTATATATGTATATATATATATATGTATATATATATATATATATATATATATATGTATATGTATATATATGTATATATATGTATATATATATATATATGTATATATATATATGTATATATATGTATATATATATATGTATATATATACATATATTTGTTGTGTCATATAAAGCAAACTGATGCAAGGATTTGTGTGTAGGTGTGTATAAAAACAAGTTTGTGCTGAACAAAGTATTTGTGGCTGCAGTCCATTGAATAAAAAAAAAACATAACTTAAAAAAATACATTTTAATACCATAACCAGAAACAAGAGAGCTGCAGTATGCAAGTGCAAGTCACGTTTACTGTGTCATTTTTGTGTACAGAAATTTCCCACTTTCATGATCTAAAAGTAAACATATTAAGATGATTTTTACAGTGCATTTTTCTTTCCACAGTTTTTTATATGTAGTTTAGTAGGTTTAAAATTTGATGTAAAGAGTAGTACACAGCTACTGTTAAAACTTACAGACATGTCAGTTCTAACACATGACACAGGTGAATGCAGGTAACTTACATCTGTGTGATATTTTTTTTTTAAAGGAGATTGTGAATATAAAATTTGCTTTATTTTGTTTTCTGGCCAAAACTTTAATTATAAGCAAATGCTGAGTCAAAAATCTAATTAACACATTTAAACCTCAGTCTCTCCTTATTGTTGACTAATTTATTCCTGTTCAATAAAACAACTTTTAAAAAATAATTGCCTATTGTTTTAAATGAAGAGAAGAAAAACTAATCTTACACAAATATGAATGGACTGCCTTTCTTTGCTAAATGTAAATGTTTCAACTTAAACTACATTCACACTGTAAACATGTTTAACAGTTCTTGGAACATGTTTCTAGACACAGGGCACAAAAACTGACATTCTTTTGGGAGTCTAGTAAACAGTTTCAGAAAATAATTACTTTATGCTGTAGCACTTCATATAAAATACTTGCATTTTGTATACTAAACTGCTTTGGGGAAAAGAAACCTTGAATTGATAGTTTCAAATGTAATATTTTTTTGTATTAAAGCTACTGTTAGAGAAAAGGCATTTATTTTAGTCCACATGTTGAATGGCAGAGCATTTAACTGCCAACCCAAAAGTCTTGAGTTCGGGTCCCTGGCTAGAGTCATAAAACATCCCTGAGTCCATCCAAATCCAATGGGTACCTGATTACGTTACGGAAAGTTAAGGCGCCTAGGCATAGTACTGACCATATTATCCCGTGACTTGCCAAAGCTCACAGACAAAGGTGATCTCTACTCAAAGTGCCCAGAGGCCATAAGGTTTGAAAGGAAACTTTACTACATGTTGATAAAACAAGCACAGTATATTACTAATGAGTAGCAGCTACTTACAAAACCAAAAGTCTGTTATCTCAAGTATTGATATTATACATTGTTTCCTAAATGAAAACTAGATTTCTACTCTACATGTTCCACTGGCAAAATCTCAAGACAGATGTACATTTTTGTTGTCAGTTAACTTATACATTATCGCAATGTGAATGTGGTGTTGCCATCACACACACAAAAATGTAATCATTTGAATAAACTCTCAAACCCTAACACAATGTACAGAATAAATGATTGATCTTGTGAATTAAAACAAAATTGATGGGGTGTCATGATGAAAATACAACAAGAGACATAACATTTTAAAAATACTTATACACATAAATATAACTGTTGGCCCAGTGATGACAAAGTGTAAACAAAAATAAGAAAAACAACAACAGGAAGATTCAACAAATTTTGATTAAAATTTCTAAACATCTTGGAGGCAATCATTGTTTTTTTTTCACATCCAGAAAAACCTGATTTTGTATGAGAAAAATGTTTTGTCTATATTTGTCTAAAATATACAATCATTGCACAAGAAAGTACTACACGTATATACAATATTACACTTTATAGACTACAGTAAAAGCTTTGTTTTCATTACATTCAACCTGTCGACAAACAAATCCCACAGTGGTAAAAATTGAGTCAGAAACAAATTTTACAGTATTCATTTAAAAAATATCATAATAGAAATACACAATAACAGGTTTTATAGAGTAAGGTAAGTAAATTTATATCTAAAATATGATTCAAAGCCTACAGAAAGATATATAAAAAAAGTTCCTTTGGTTAAATAAAAAAGCATTGCTAAACAATTTCATTTCAACACATTGCAAAAAGAATGGTGTGTTCAAAATTTCAGTAGTGAAATAAAAACATCTGCTTCCAATTCCTCATTACTCTGATTAAATCTCAAACTTTTTCACTTGCAAATTTTCTAAATATCATTTCAAAAAATTACTGCCAGGAAATGGAATAATATCAATTTGCTGCATACACTTTACATAAGTAGAAACTACAGCACAGTTGAATATTTACCCATTTGATTTGTAAAATATTGTTTGCAAAATACAAAACAGGGTAAAAAAAAGTTTATTTATAATAAAATAAAAAGGAGACAAATGGAAACGTATAAAAATCACTTATTTAAAATATTTACCCTTAAAGAACTACTTACACTATAGTCTTATTGTACTAAATTAATAGCAGTTTTTTTTAACTTGAATCTATTAAAACCTATGCTGTTTGTTGAATTTCCATTGAAAGTAAAAAAAAAAAACCAAAAAGTTAAATTCCTTATTTATTTATTAATATCTACCTATATCCTGATGTGTTTAAAAGAAATATTAAGTCTTGTACTACAAGAATGCAGTATTTCTTTTACTGTACTTATGTTTCCTTCATATTAACATTGTTATTCTATATCTTTTTACAAAAAATTAAATAATGCTTACAGTTTACACAAATACAATATAAAAACAGTTGAATTAGAAGGTATATGAGTATTTGTCTTTAATGTTTTACACTGTTAGAAAAAAAAATTGTGTCAATAGGACAGTTTATGACAATAGGGTAAATCTATTTGAGAAAACAATTGTGTCAATACAAAAGTTCATGACAGGATGGTAAAAGTACTTGAGCAGTAAACTCACTCTGCGATGCACTAAAAAAGTGCTTCACAGGTAATAGGTTAAATACTGAGAGAAAAAAACACACATCAGAAATAGAAAAACATTGCATTATTTATACACTATACTAAATAACTAACCACTATAAACCCCTTATATATATATATATATATATATATATGACTAGCATTTAGCATGCCCATATTACAATAGCTATAGCTCCAGCAATTTCAAAAGGGTTATCAATATGATAAGCACTAATAAAATTTTGACTAGAAAGAAACAGAACAAAAAAAAAACAACTGAAAAATTACAAACGGGTATCCTGGAATAAAATTACTGTAAAACCTTGCATACAATGCACAGTAAAACCCCTAATTCTGTTATTGTTTGGTTAAAAAAAGGTGTCTATTTTTAGCAGCACTTAATTAAAATGTCAGATAAGAACTAAGCCTAGATTAACTCTACATCCTTTACGTAGCACATAACTAGTGTTATCAAAACAATACCGTGCATTCCAAGCCAGACTTTACAGCAATTTGTTCTTAGGTTTTCTATCTAATTGAGATCAGAATATTCGGTGATGATTTCAAGAAAAAAGTTTTCATGTACAACACAACACTGATGTACAATATTCAAAACATGTTTACATTTCTTTCATCTCCCAGGGAACTTTTTAAAGAAAATAATTTCATAAACAAGGAAAAATATCAAAAACAGATTTGTAGACAAGGATTTAGTTGACTCATAATGGAGTAGGAGTGTGGGGTAGAGTAAGGAAACCAAACCAGGGATACATTTTTTTGATAAACTGTAACAACTAAAGCACACCTCTAATGGATCAAAGTTGTACAAACTGGAGTAAATTTGAACGAAATAAACCTGTATTTTGAAAACAAAAATGTTTTAAAAGGACAACTAATTAGTTTTTTTCTCTTGACATCAAAATCTATGAAGAACACTTAGTAACAAATATAATGTATGTTTTCACTGTCAGTTCTGGTCAGAAAAAAAATACAATTTTAAAAAAAATATGAAATTAACAATATAAAACAAATATGTGCTGAAATAAAAGAATTAAAATAATAAGCACAAATTTATTATTATACTTTTTGGTTGATTTGTTTAAAAAAAAAATCTATAAGTCCTTAATATATTTTGATTACCCTTACCTCTACAATGCATATAGCATTTGAAACTTTTAAGAAAAACTGTCCAAAATTTAAAACAATATTTACACATGCAAACTATAGTTTTTATACTTAATAAACAAAATTTGTAATAAAAAGCAACAAAATACACACATTATACAAAAAAAAAGTTTGTATTGCACTGGTTACTGCTGAGCAGAAACAAAAACACATGCAGCATAGAAACAATACACCTGTGTTTTATTCTAGCTCAGTGACTTGTACAGTCAACATGTTTATCTTTTTTTAGATAGAGAAATAGAAATTCCCAAATATCTAGCGAGTTAAAAATCAAACTACAAACAACCCACAAGGCTGTTTGGTGTTTACATTATGCTTATATCTACAAGCACATGTTTTTTTTTCTCTTCAAAATATGAAAGCACATGAAAGTTAAATAATCAAAGGTAAAAAATGTTGAGTCTCCATTTGAAAGAAAAACCCAGTTATCACACAACTGAAAAGAGAAATAAGAACCTATCTGATGTCAGTTTGAATAACTTTTCATTTAAAAAAGTAATTATTAATTAATAGTTATCTGGATTAGCCCTCCAAAGTGGTTGTACATAAAGAGGTAATTCATACAAAAAAAGGGATTTTTGACCATACAACAAATGCAATGTGTAGCTGTATATATCAAGGATTTATGCTACTGCCAAAAAATGCTAATGGAAATTTTTAAAAAATCTGAATCAATTTCAGAAAAAAATTCAGAATATTATAATTATTATTAATAAATTTAATGTTAATTACACTTTAAATATATATAATAGAACCTACAATTTCATATAAATAAAATCACAGTTAATGAAAATTAATGTTAGTTTTTTAATACATTTTTTTTAAAATTTAACTCCAATTCAGGTTTTTTTCTGTGAAGTAAGAATTACGAAGGAAAAAAAGAAAAAAATTATAAGCAACAAACCAATCAGCCATGGAACTACAACATATCCCAGCTAAAGCACTGGTTACTGGTTTTAAAATGATAAAACATTTTACTGTCAAGTCTTTGATAAACAGTTGTGTAAATATTTGGATAAAAAATAGTGAATTAAAAATCTCAACATATCAAATGTGTACAACAGATAGAAAAATCAAATAGAAAATATATTTCATAAAAAAAAATACCCTTCCCAGTCAACAGAACAGGTAATAAGAAGAAAAAAGACTTTTGTGCTTGCTGCTTTTAAAAAAAAACCTTCTTAAACCTGACGTAATTAAAATTTACTAAAAAGTATATTGGTATCAAATGTTTATTTTGGTTAAAAGAGTTTCTCAGTATTCTTTAATGTAAAATACTATCATCATCTTTAAAATATTGGTTATTCTTTTTATAAATACCCTGATTGTCAAGTCAGGGGCCAGTTAACTGATATGGATCAGTTAAATTAATTTGCAAATTTTATTTTTTAAAGTAATCTTTCAATAAGGTTAAGATGGTTATTGTCAAACATTTTTTAGTTTATGAAAAAAAAAAGAAGAAATTCTGTGAGAAGAGAACTGCTGTAAGGAATTATGAAACGCTGATTTAGAAAAACCCACAGAATAAAAGTATATCTGAAATGGTTTTATTTGTACATCAAGAACTTGTAGGGAGTGTCGGAAAATTTTTCTACTCCAGCACCTATAAGTATAAATGTGTGATGTTGATAAAACTTACACAAGTAGCTAAAATAACTTGATTACACCCTAGATACCAAGAAATAACAACAAGATTTACTGCTGAAATCCAATCAAGCAAAACTGGCTGCCATCGGAAAAAAAAAGGATCATCTGGGATGTAAACAGCTGAGCTAGTCATAGACCACATTGTTAAGTGCTAACTTTTAAAATCTAAATATGAGTTAGATTAAAACCTGCTGAAGACTAAAAATTGTAATTACATTGTAATAATAAAAGACTAAAGATTGGATATGGGAAAGAAAGAATTTAAGAGGGATTATATATCAAAGGGAGACAACACGCAGTTAAATTATTATTTTTTTACAAATGGATTGCCATTCTTCCAATTCATATTTAAATATGTCAGAATTTACAAGTGAAGATGCCACAATAGCCCTGCTATAAATTCTATAACTTAGATAATGTGATACATAAAAATAAATAATTGCATTGAAGTTGAAGAATTAAAAAAAAAACAACACCCCACACAGAAAACAGAAAGTTTTGATGCTATAAAAAGCATAAATAATGGACATAGTTACAGCCAACATGAAACCACCAACCAGTCCTTCACACCTTTGAATAAATATTTGTGCTTATATATATGTTGTATGTATATTTCATTGTAAACTAGTCAAACACAAGGTTTCTAAAAATATTATTATACCATGGACCCTCTGACAGGCAGAGGCACAGACCAGGCTACTCTAATAACTAAAAATATTGCTGTCGTTCTCCACCAATTAACACACAATGAATGTCTTAGTAAGCACCACAGAAATCGCCAGAAATATCAGAAAATAAAGTTTACATTTTTTTGTAGTAAAATCATACCCTGGGGATCAGTGAGAAGGATTAATACCATGATGATGTTTATAAAAATGTATCTTACTATTCTGTAATTTCAATTTTGAAAATAAACCTGATAATCTTTCTAATATTTTCTTCCACATTTCTAATGTGAAATATTTATAAAACTGATTAAAAGTTTGCAAAGTAAACTTTCTTACAACTAAAAGTCCCATGTATTTCAGGTTTAAGAGATGAGTGTATGTATAATCATGTAAGCACAAAGACACCTTACTTTAAAATAGTTTGCAGCCTGCTTTATGTACACATAAACAGTGGATGTTTAAAATAAAATGTATACATCTTCAATCCACTTAAGGGAAGTCACTCATTCACGCAGTAATTGCCCTTGTAAAGCACTAGAAAATAAGCCTAAGCCAACTAGATACATCCACCTACTCACACCACGCATGAACTCGTGTACCAGTTGACCTATTTGTCGGCAGCCTACAGTCTATAAATAACAGTCATCACCTCTGTAGATAGGTGGGAGGAGAGGGAACAACAGCGGGCAGTCATATAGTTAGTTTTTTGGGCCGCCGCCTAGCACCTTTCTTCTTCTCTTTTATTGTTTCGTATTCTTGCCTTGTGCGAAGAATGAAATTTAACTCAACAGAATTATTCAAGGCATAAAAAACATTGGCACGGTCTGGAATTAAAAGCTCTGGAGAAGAAAGAAAATATATACTCATAAAAGGTTGGGATTTAAACTTTAACAAAATAAAGTGTTCTATATATACATATTTATTATTTCCATTATTATAAATGTATTAAATTTAAAAGGTTTAGGAAATTATTAGAGCAGGCTATCTTTGAAATTTGGTGGTTTCTGGATTCATTACATAATATGGGGTAAGTTGGTGGGTCAAAAATAGCCTATTTAGTATTATATAAAATGTACATGATCCAAGTCAATTCTGGCAACTACAGCATGAAAACCACATCAGTGCTTACCTCCATCAGGTAAAATCTGTAACAGACAATAGTTATCTGCCTGGGCCTCTATGGCATACTTCTCCAGTATCTTCTCTATCACTGTGTGGGTGTGGTCACTGTTCATTAGCTGATAATAAAAACATTTTTTATTAGTTTATCGGGTAGTGATAAAAATATTTTATGTTTGTTTACCAGTTGTAATAAAACATGTTATATTAGTTCATTAGCTGATTATGAAAACATTTTTATTAGTTAGCATATAAGATGGTGATAAAACTATTTTATATTAGTTCATCAGTTGGGGATAAAACTATTTTATATTAGTTCATCAGTTGGGGATAAAACTATTTTATATTAGTTCATCAGTTGGGGATAAAACTATTTTATATTAGTTCATCAGTTGGGGATAAAACTATTTTATATTAGTTCATCAGTTGGGGATAAAACTATTTTATATTAGTTCATCAGTTGAGGTTAAAACTATTTTATATTAGAGAACTGAACAGTTCATCGGTTGGTCAGTGTAATAAAAACAATAATATATTAGGGGTAAACTCTGATTGATTATTACATTTATACTATTGTGCTGTATCATTACACTAACCCTAGTTCAAATCTATTACCACCAATTTTCCATAATTAGATTGTGGCACATTTTTTGGCCTTTATTCCTTTATATTTATGTATAGAATATATTAACAAATCTTTACATTTTAAAAATATTCACATGAAAAATCACAGACTGTCCCTGTAGTTTGACTGAGGCAGATCCTTTATTTGTGCTTCATATATCAATAATAAAAGTTGATATTCAATTGTTGATTTATTGAGAGAACAGGTGGCACAAAACCCTGCTCAGATCTAGGAAACTGTTATAGAGAAAATGGGAGACCTACCATGATGCTCTTGTACACATGTGTGGTATCATTCTGACTTGAGTCTAGGGAAACTTTTATAACATAGGAGTCTGATGATTTGAAGGGTGTCTGAGATGATGGGGTGTCACTATCAGATGATATCACAGATGACGTCGATGATGAATGTGAGAGCTGGATATTTAAAAAAAAAAGATTATTAGAAATTTTTGTTGTAGAATAACTAAAAAACTTTCAATTTTTTTGTTAAAGTATTGAAAGGTGAAAATTCCTTAAAATTTGTTCAAGCTTTGTTGTTATAATAAATACTGCAAAGCTGGATAGGACAAACAGTCCTGTACTAGTACAAAAAGACTTGGGTAAACCTTATAACCATCCTCAAATAACCCAATTAATACTAGTGAATAAATTTACTTAAGTTCCAACTACAATTCCCTTCTATAACCTTACTTAAGTTCAAACAATAACACTAGTTATACAACTAAGAGTTAAATAACGTACCATGTTTACCCAAATTACAAATGTTACAAGAACAACACTGTCTTTACAATTAAAATAAATTTAATTATAGTCCTAAAATAACATACAATGTTGACCAACTTACAAATGTAACAAGGACAACACTAGATGTAGACTTACTAATGGTCCTACAGAGGCAGCGATTGTATCAGGAATACTGGCAATACTGTTGCGGTCTTCAAGACCACAGGCAAACAACCCCAGCTTGGTACTGTCTGCCCTGGTAGGTTTTGTACCCAGGCTGTGAGAGAAACAAGTTTCTTAAATAACAAACATGGGTATAAACTTGGTTTTTACACATCTACACATTTCAACAGCAGTTTAGAGATTTGTTGAGGTAAGCTCAAAGATTTACAAATAATGTGACCGTTTTGGGTATTACAGGCAGTAAAAAAGATGGATTAGAATTTATATAAATCTTGTTTTCTAAACTGCTGTTTTTGCATAGGGAATAGAAACTACAAGTTTTTCAGTCAATATTAATACTGTGATAAGCTGTATATTGGTGTGTATGTTTTGTATAATAATTTTTTTTAATGTAGCATATGTGTATGTGTATGCATGTTTAAGAAAAAAAAGAAACATTTCAAAGTACACTAAATTCAATGAAATGTTCTTTTGGAAAGAAACTGTCATATTTTCAATGTTTTAAAAAAAAATCTTTTGTCTACAAATTTCTTAAACAATTACCTGGTATGTGAATTTGAAATTTCATTTTTAAAATTATGACAGTTGAGTTCACATATTAAGTCAAATATGACAATTAACAGGTATTGTCAGCTATAAGTATGACCATAACATGGAAGGTTATATAACATACTATGAGTCGAGCCACATTTAAGGGATCTAGATAAACAAGGTCACTAAATATTTAAAATAATTCCTTACATAATGTAGCTATTAGGTAACATACAAGACTGGGGATAAACAAAGTCACTAATTATTTTAAAAAATTCCTTGCATATTACAGCTAATCGGTAAAGTAATGGAACAAATAAACACCTACAAATCAGGTTTGTTGTTTTTAATCAACAGGGATACTTCCTAAATGAACAACACCTAACACTCTCTGGGGATGTTATGTTTGATGCAGAAAGATTTAAGCAAAAAAAAAAAAGCAATTAGAATATTTGTAAAGTTAGTTCACTTTTCTGTTCATGTAAAGCTCTGGTTAACAGTGATAGGCCAGTTAGTGAACATTTTTAGGGACTTTCCTTTTTAAACCCAAGACAGTAAAATGATTAATGCTGTTTGATACACTTTGAATTAGCACCTAACACAAATTCAACACTTGTCTTCAGGCCAATCTTTTACCATTATTATTTCTGTCTTAGGTTTAACAGGAATGTAAACTGTTTCAATGTTATGTGTCTCTGCCTGGGGAGGAGTGATTGTTGCACCAGGTAAGCAAAAGCTTTAGCATGAAACTTTGAAGAAAAGATATTGTCTTATAAGTTTTAAAACAGGCCTCTTTTGTTAATTTGATTTATTAGTACTTATACTAAGCCACACAACGATGACCAGTGTTTAGAAGAAAATAAAAGTTGCATACAAAAACCATCTTTAAAATAGAAGAGATAAACTAAGTATAAAGAAAAAGAAAACAATTTAAAAATGAATATAACCTAAAACACATAAACTTAGCTGATATGTAACAGATGGAATCATAGAAAAATGAGAAAATAAAAATATTGGTGAAACCAACAGCATATTCATTGATATGGTTTCTTTAATCAAACAGTAACTGAAATATTTCTCTCTTCATTCAAAAGCTATGGTGTTTCTACTTTCTTTTTACACTTTATAATATATATATCAGTGATCAGTATTTTTCATCTAGAGCCATACACACACATCTTAAATAAAATAAAGTTGCAACAGGTGTAATGAGTACAGAAACTTTAAATGCAACTCATTTAACTTTATTTAGCAAGTGTAGCTTATACAATAGTTCTTTAATTATTGAACCTCGTAAATGCAAAGAAACATTTCAAAAGAAGAATTTCATGTGGTTCAGTCCATATATCATGTAGGTTTGTTTACAGACCAAAAAATTCCACATAAAAAATCAGCTGTTAGAACCACTCACAGGCTTATATGAATAATATCTAACCAAAAACTTGTAGACACTAACCAAAACAAAAGAGTAAAAATATAAAACAAAATTATAAAAAGTGCAGTACATCATAAACAATTAATAAGTAAATAAAATAAAAGTTGAGCACCAACTAGAACCAGTCAAAGATGACAGCTAATCCAAGCAAAGCGCATAGAAAAGTGCAGGCTATAAAATATGCTGTTACAATATTGCTTCAACCAAGCCAGAAAGGATGCAGTGGTAAACAAATATTATTCCTTCAGCAGCTAAAAGGTTTTTAACAGCCACAAGCAGCTCTTAGTCAAGGGGAACCCAGTAGTATAAAGATACGACCAGTGCCATCACAATATGAAACCTGACATTTTACATACAGCTAGATGAAAATTTGGGTATAAAACATTTCCCACCAGCTTGTACATCCAATAAACTTATAGTTACTTAACAATATAAACTCTTGATTCAAATAGTAAATAAATAAAGATTATGAAGAATGGATTTTAGCCCTAGTCAATCCTGGTTTGTATAATGATATAGAAATTTTAAAAATTCTAAAGAGTAGATATTTAGAAATAAACCTAATGAAATAGGTCTAATAATATATTGATACAATTTTCTGAAATTTTTTTTTTGGAAGAGATCAGATAGTTTCATATTGTCATCAGCAATGGGGAGAGGGTAGGACTGTAAGATCCTGCCCAAGACTTACCCATCTCTTTGGGGATAAGGAACTCTCCCCTCCTCCTTGCTGGAGGAGGAAATGTTAGGTTCAGAGAACCTTGACCTACACGCAAAGCATGCGTATAGCTTAGCAGCAGACAACCTCCTCTTCAGATGTGGTCCACTTATACTGGAACAGCATGCATATCAGGAAGATAAAGGAGAATTGTAAGCACACACTAGGGTAAAACCATACCAAAATCAACAGAGTGCCAGAAAACTCCATTCCTCTCCATCTTCCAATTTTTATTAAAGCATTTACAACTTTCTTCTGTACTATATTATAATATTATTATACTTCCAAATCTTTGTAAAGAAAGAAAAAAGTTTGACAAACGAAAAGTTTCAAAACCTTTCTTGACTTTAGATTTTAAATAAGAAATCTCTACATTTTGGGGCTAAAAATATGAGACTGAGCTATCATCAGTTTTGCTAGTTAAAAAAATAATCTATTATAGTTGATTAAGTATGTTATTAATCTGATTGCATATTTTCATTACTTAACACGCCAGTTTCCATTAGTTTGAGAAAAAAAAACATAGTGTGGATTGAATCGAGGTAAACTATGTTTAATTTAGAGGATCAGAGCATTATGGGTAAAGTATGAGGTATAGGTAGGGGGAGGGTCAATTCCAGTTTTATACATTACATCCTTTTTAAAAAAAAAAATCATTCAATTATTTATTTTTAAAATGTCAATTTAAAGATTATTTATTAAAATAGTTAAAAAAGAAATAGAATAATTCACTTTAAAAAATTTGAATATATATAGTACAAATCTAAATATAAAAAGAGTGCTAAGGCAAACATATAACAAAACAATTGAGCCCACACACACAAACTCAGCACAGCCATACACAGCAAAGTGAACAAAGCAAACAGATGCAGAGAGTAGGTAAATAAAAGAACAACTGCAAGTACATCTAACACTTGAGCAATTTTTTTTTGGTGAGATTGATATGCAGTGATCACAAAAACAAGTCTTGCTGCTTCAAAACCAATTATTTAAAATAGATGTATGGAAGAGATAATTTTGGACCAATTGATGCAAAAGAAATGACCACTAAATGTAAGATTGGTCTAGAAGTGACCAGGAGATATTTAATTTTTTAAAAATGTTGAAGGCTTACCTGGCAGATTTTTTCTTGATTTTAGCAGAGCTTTCTGATGGAGGTTCCAGGGAACATGACATTTCATGACTGAAAAAAAAGTCAGTAATCACTTAATCACACTGTTAAAAATACATTTATTTTCACTGCATAACAAGATATAATATTTTTATATGCTTATTTAAACAAAATATTGTTCAGTTAATTTTTTTGTACCCTTAAATAGAATATTAACTATTTGATATTAGATTCTTTTTTTTTCATAGTTAAGTGTATCTTACTAATTAAATAAACCACAGTCATTGATACAATTTTAAAACATTAACAAAGGTCTATTGTAAGTGTGTGATAATGTGATAAAGCAGTGGCTTCCAAACTGGAAGGCACATCTCAATCAAGCTAGGGGAGGCATGAAATGTTTAACAGAAATAGACAATTTATATACATGAAAATATACAGCTATAAATAAGTAAATACTTATATCATTGAAAAAGCATTTTGTGTCTGAAAACAATGTTTTAAGTGATCTTTGCCTAATGGAAACACCAAGATTTTTTTTTGTAAGAGAGGAGCGGTGGCAAAAGGTTTGGAAACAGATTTAAGGATTTTGAGTTCAAATACTGGACAAGCCAGGGTAAACACAGCATTGGTAGGCCTCAATAATTTTATGAAGACTGCCTACAAGTCAAATAAATAGAAAAGATCTAGTGACCCCCATGACTTGCCTCTCAAGATCAGAGTAGGTTCTGATAGAGTTGAACCACCTCCAAAAGCAATTGTCCTCTGTCATGGTGTAGATGGATGCTGCAGACTGTAGGAGCTTGAGCTGGGCCAGGACCTCAAACTCCTTGCGCCGCTTCTCAAAGTTGATGAGGCCATCCTCTATGGTGTCCGGCAGGGCAGTGTCTATCATGGTCAGGTCAGTCAGGAATGTGCCCAGGTATGGTACAGTACCTTGTACAATACCCTGTGATCAATGGAGGGATTGAATAGAAATGTCAAAAATTCAGGCAACTATCAGGAATGTGCCCAGGTATGGTACAGTACCTTGTACAATACCCTGTGATCAATGGAGGCAATACCCTGTGGTATTGAAAAGTATTGAAAAGTCAAAGCTTGAGATAAGTTTAGTTAGTTTATAGTGAAGGAAATTAACCACAATGTGGAGAATAGAATTATAAACTGTAGCAACTTGTTTAAGACATCACTAGCTAATCTTCAGAATATTTCTATTTAAGTTAATAAAAACAGCTTAGCATATATACAAGATAATATATTATTAATCAGTACAATTTCTATTTTATTTATACTTTAAATTCAAAGCACATTTTTAAGTAACTAAGGGACTATTATAGGAGCTAATTAAATTTTTTTAAAGAATTATTTATTTTGAACTAGCTCTAGAAAATTTGTTGTCCATAATACTTAACAGGATTTATATTTCACTAACAAGATTTTTTTCTTGGACTTAATAAATCAAGCTTTAGACAATCTAGTGAAATTTTCTGAATCATCAGCAATTTCCACTGAAGGTTCAAAGCTTCTACAGATTAAGATAGTTAAATAATATTTTAAACTACTTCAGTATCCTAGTAATGTAGATATATTTACATTGTCAATCCAGGAGCGCCTTTTTTGTAAATTTTTTCTCTTCAATGTTTTACTCTGTGAATCAAGATCTGGAAATTTGGCTGTGGCTTCCTAGAAAAAAACAATGTTGTAGTTTTTTAAGATCAGGAAATTGACAGTTGCTTACCACAAAAACGGACATTTTGAGTTTAATAAGAAATGGAAATAAGTTTGTTGTTTCTTACAAAAAAAAAAAAAAAAACCCCACAGAAATTATATAATCCTTTGAAATTGTAACCATGTTTAATGTAAAATTTCCAAATAAAAAGATCTTGTACCAGAAAGACGGATCTTTCTTTGAATTACAAATTTACAATTAAATTATTCACTTAACTTCCAAGTTTGAAGTAATAATTTAACATAAAGTTTATTTTTCTACCTAGTCATTGTATATAAATTGTTATAAATCCCCTGAATTTGCTTAAAATGTGAAATTTTTACCTTCATTAACAATTCTCTGGAATTGATTTGGTTATTTTCCACAGAAAAAATTTCACTCAGCTCTTCAAATAAGACCATTGCATCTCTGTAAGAAAGATATAGTCACTTTATATAATCGGCAGGGAGTAATGGCTCTGACGGGGGTGGGAATAATGTCTTAGACCCAGTAAAGTTAGTATATTATAGAAGACATGATTACTTTGATAAAGCTGTCCATGTCTTTCTTAGACGGTAGACAGGATGTGATTGAAGCCCTGTGATAATTGCCTTCAGTGATGAAAAGTTCTTTAACTCACGCAGATCCTGAGAAAAAAAGAGAAATAAACATTATAATCAGTAACAGTAAAGGCAGACAACTTCAAATAAAATAAATAATTTAAGATTATTACATAAATGAGGGCTCTATAATAATAAATAATTTCTGTAAATATTTTTTTTTCTATACTTCAGTCTTACCTGTGCTATTAAAATCCATTTCTGAATCACCTTAGCCCTCTGTGAGGTTTTCAATTCCCTAGTTTTTAACACAGTGGCTATTACCCGCAGAGAAACATTGTTAAACTGTTGAATGGTGGCCTGTATGCTAGGTGCATTGTTTTGACTTTCTTTGTCTCTTTTTGACCACACTGCCCCCAAACAATGGTGCGGAATAACTTTACGAAACAAATCCTAAACAATATTTAAAAAAAAAAAAATAACAGGTTAGTTTAAATGAATGGTATATTAATAAATAATAAGGTGACCAATTATTTCCTAAAAGAATAAAAAAAAATTAATAAACAATTTATTGAAATAATTGTTAAATTATGTTAAAAATTTCCTAACACAAATAAAAGCCCCACATATTAATTAAAATAACATAAATCTCACTCAGACAATTTATTAATAACATTGTCATTAAGATTTTTAATACATATATTATATAATCATGACACATCTTACCGCATCTTTAAATGTCAGCTGTTCAGCAATTTTTCTACATGATATTTCTAACAAAGCCAATGATTTGCTACTATCTGTATCTGCAGGGTGACCTCCATCAGACAAAGAAAACGAGAGTTCCAATTGTCGAGCTGAATATACAAAATGTAATAAATAAACTAACATTTAAAAGTAAAAAAAAATATTTGAATATCTGTCATTCATAATTACATTAGTTTATATTTAAGATAAATTAAGTGATTTATTTACGCAATTTATGAGGGCAAATAATAAGGAGATGTAATCTTTATGGTAGAGGTAAGGAATATTAGCAGCAACACACTTAAAGACACAAAAACTTTCATTCTTCTTCTCCTTTATTCTTGATTGTAATATCGAAAGGAATTTCCTCCAACACAATTACGTATAATGTTTCAATAATTTCAGCCTACTTTTTTTTTTTTGATTAATTTCCAATGATTTTGTCCATCTAAGAACAAATTACGAGACAGCAATTGTTTGATTTAGAAGTTTTCTCTCTTAGATGCGTTGCTATCCCCAGCTATCGAGCCTCATCTACCTGGAGGTTTGGCCTAGAGACTTTGGTTTAGCAGCCATGAGCTTTTCTAACCCGACCATGCAGACACCTTAACTTTTAATCAAGAATATCAAATATGTTTTAGCGATGACATGCAGGCTTAATTTTTTAAACTGATGTTTACCTGTGAATTCTGCATCCTCAGCTCGAAAAGCCTGCAATTTCTCTTTCACCTTCACATCAATGCCGCTGCCTGCTGCGCTATCCACAGCAAACCTTTGTAGCTCCAGAAGGCAGGTGTATTCAGGTGTGTCATGAAAATCTTCAGGGTATGAGTCCAACCACACAAATATCACAGATTTAAGGGCTCTGATACATAAAGTAAAAACAAAGATCTTTAGATGAGTCCAACCACACAAATATCACAGATTTAAGGGCTCTGATACATAGAGTAAAAACAGATCTTTAGATGAGTCCAACCACACAAATATCACAGATTTAAGGGCTCTGATACATAAAAACAAAGATCTTTATATGAGTCCAACCACACAAATATCACAGATTTAAGGGCTCTGATACATAAAGTAAAAACAAAATAAACTCTTTATGAGTCAAACCACACAGATAAAAGATTTAAGGGTCCGGATACATAGAGTAAAAACAAAAAAAAAAAGGGCCCAACAACACAAATATCAAAGGTGGATTCTGATATATTGGGTCCTATGTAATTAAAAAATAGTTGCTCTTGCAAAAATTTGTATTCTCTTAAAATTTCAATTTTGTGGGAAATCGTGTATTCTATTTTATAATGTGGGATAAGACAAATATAGCATTGTTTAAACATTTTCCCCTGCCTGTAAGAGTTAGGGTCAGGGCCACTGTTAGTGTCAGAGTTGTAAAACTAGTAAAATTCTGCCCTAAGTTGTGTTTTAAAGTGTATAGGCGTTTCAATAATGCATTCAGTTAAAATTTAATTTCTTAAAAAAAAAAAATTAAAGCAAAAATCAGAAAAAAAAATTAACAGGTTTTGATTAAAAATTGATGTGTAAAATATTTATTACATAGCTTTTGTCAAATTATAAGACAAAATAAAATTAAGACATTGGTGATGTAGATTACCTGAGTAGATTTTCACAAAGTTCTGTTTTATCAGCTTTAGTCTGGGACCTAACAAATTTGTACCTGAAAGGTATAGTACTTTAGATTAAACAATAAATGTATTTTTTTCATGTTATGTATCATGTAATTCATCTTATGATTATTTTAAGTTGTGCTTTGCTGTTTTCCTTCACTACAGCAAAATAATTCAACCATTATCTTTAAATCAAAGTGCCCACTTTAAACTCAAGTACAATATAATTAATGACTTTTTTTTTTGTTAGTGAGCAAACCATATGTCCTACTACAGTTCTGCCATAGTACCTATTTAAAAGTTATGTATCGTTGCATCTTGTGACTTAAAATAATACCCCACCCACTCTACAATTGTTGCCTGTGTCCACTTTTACCTTTCTATTAAAGTGTCCAGCACCTGGCGGGGGGTGGCAAATGTCCGGTACGTGGCCAGGAAGATATTCACATAGCTAGAATCCATCTCTCCTCTGCTGTTTGTAAGGCTTTCAACTAGCTTGGCCAGGGTGCCAGCACGGATGACCCGTACTTTATGGGTCTCCCACATGAGATGGGAAAACTCACTGTTTCTCTCATTTTCATCTTCCAGCTAAACAAATAAAAAAACAAAACTTATCAGCTTATTCCTTTTAATTTGGATTTAAGTGGTTGAGACCAGAGAGGTTTAAAATTATTTTTTAAATATTTATATTAAAAACCTCAACTGATCCATAGACTAATGGAAGGAGGTGGAAAAAAAATCAATTCATTGAAAACATAGCAAATTAAGGCCTATAACAATATACCACAAATGTCTGGCAGAATTTCCAAAGTGTTTAATAAGTAGGTATGTCAGCTATTTTAAAGAATGTAGGTATTATAGTAGTAGATAAAATGGTAGTCCTATAATAGAGAAATGCCAAAATAGATAAGTTAGTTCTAGGGAATGAGATGAAGTACTGGTAGGTCTGAGAGAAAAAAGATATACAATTAAGGAGGTATAAAAATAACTACTTACCCGAGCTTGTGATAAATAAGTAACCTTTTTTAAGTAGGCATGATATACAGCACCATCTTCCCTCTCTTCTCGCCAAAAACGGTTGGTATCATCTTGCGACTGTGTAGGCTGAAAAACGATGTTCAACATCAAACTTCTGATAAAAACACTGCATACATTCAGGAGTTGAACTAGTCTTTCTTTTATCTCAACACAACATATTTTAGGTGGATGGTCACTCTTTACTGCCTTTGTTCTCAAATACTTTAAGTAACAATGTTATATTTTTCTAAATATTTCATGTTGAATAGAATTAGGAATTTTTAGACAGAGGTCATTTAACTGAAAACTTATAAATTTCCATCATATGAATGAAAAGAAAACAACCATCTAATTAAAATGATGTTATTCACACAAATAAATGTATATTTGAATACAAGGAAGTTACAAGCTTCATTATGATAAAATTCTTTCTAGGAAATACTACAATGTGGAAATATGCTTAAAAAAATCTAAGCTCTTCAATTGTTTCATGCCTAGTAGCTATAGGACTACTTAGAACAATACAAGTGGCTTTGGAGAATGTATTAGTGTTGTACAGGATGTTGTTTCATTACACTTGAAAAAAAACAATACAAGCTATTATAAACTAGTTTGCATGAATGAACACTTGCATGATGATAAATTATGCCTAAAAATAAAGTAGCTAGTTTTCTTTTTTTTTTAAATTTAAAAATCTTTTTTAGTGGAAAACATGTTCTAAAGATATTAAAATATGTATATAAATTAAAACAGACAGAAGATGAAATAATAAGAAGTGTAGTGGTCTATTTTTAAAATGCTATTAAACACAAATGTCAACCAAAAGATGATTTTCAGGCAGTATTAAATAATAAAATAGAATCCTATTCCTCAAATCATCTCTAGGAAGAAGCCACTACAGTGAAAGTATAGTACTTGAACAAACAGGCCAAATGAAATATAATTTCTCTATTTCTAACGCTAAAGAAAGGACTGAAAGACCAGTACAAAAGCCAACTGCCCTACTTTGCATGACTTTTAAAGTCAAGTAGAAAAAAACAGTTGTCAGACTTTGCCAAGTAATCATTAGTTAGGTGAACTGACTTCCTACTATCTGGGAACCAAATCCTTGGGTCTTCACTCTACATAATCTCTAGAACTTAAATAACTAATTTATTTTCAATTTTACGTATAAACTGCAAGTAATCCATATAAATCATTAATTTATTATAAATTAATTAATTAATCCAGACTAATATTAATAATGATGTATATAATACTTTTTTCCAACATATGAATTCTACTTCATCACATCTGCCCAATAGATCGATAGGTCTAAAGAGATTTTTTTTTCTTTATAATAGTTTCTTCTACTTAAAATACTAAATCTGTTTTTGAACATGTAAGTAGCCTTGTTGTGCAGGTCTAAAAATAGCTTAAAAATTACAGAAATCTAAAACCACATTAATAATTTAGTAGATTGGCCCCTAATTATAATTAGTTGCAACTGGATAATAAAACATGTACAAACACTTTATAATAACAAGCGATTAATAAACGTACCAAAATAAGAAAATAAAACATGCTCATAAAAAAAGAAATTTTATCCATGTTTTTTTCATACATTTTAGTGTTAAATGATTTTTAAATATAACAGTATTTTAATACTGAGGCCTAGGTAAAACAATAAGTACCATAATATTTTCTATTCTGATTGTTCTTAATTTGGTCAACACATCACATGACTAAAAGGTTTGTTTGCTTTGGAAGAAAATTTGAGCACGTGATATCTTGACTCTAAATGCCAATTATCATTATCTTCCTCTTATTAGAATCTCTTCATGTTTTGGCTCTAGAATTTTTTTAAAACTTTTATTTTCATACATACCAGCTTACTGGACTGATTAAGTGATGGCTATTGCCTAGTTATCTCCCATCTTTTAATAAGTATTGTAATCTTTAAGTTAAATTTTTGATGACTAATTTAAAATCTAACTAGAATCAGAATGAAAATTAGGTATTCTTGTGAACAAAGGAAGATGCACTCACTACTTATCTTCAAAGTTTGAAAGAAATAGCCCCATTAACTTTAACAAAGGTAATAAAATAAGTGATAAGATTAAACTACAAACTGAACCAGACAACAGGATAGACACTGCTACATATTGGCACATATTCAAGGCTACTGAGGAGAAATGTACAGGTTTTTTCCCAGGACTCAAATTTCACATTACAATTATATTTAATAATGATTCAGTCCATATGGTATGGCTCTTAAGGTCAGCCAACTTGCTTTAGGGCACCTAAGGCCTACTTTTATTTTTAACGTAAAGTAAATTGTACAAAAATGGTATATTTGTGTCCATGTCAACAACAATGATCTGGTCCAGTGGCATCGCAACTGTAAAGCTAGCGTAAGCAAGGCATAGGGGCCCTTTTCCGAAAGTTTGAGGGGGGGGGGTGCAAATCGAAAGTCTGAGTGGGGGGGTGCAAATCAAAAGTTTGTCGCCGGGAAGGGTGGCTATGCCTCTGAGGGTCCACTAACACTTTTTGCATAGGGGCCCAAAAATCCTAGCTACGCCACAGATCTGGTCCCTCTCTTTGACTAAGTCTCATTAACTTAACTAAAGATTAACAGTTCTATTACTTAATAGTCTGTATCAAGTCTCCTGATCATTTACATTCTCATGATTCATTCATTTCCTTATGAATAGCAGAGATTACTGAGTCAGATTTTACTAGATCTAGATTTAGTTTTAGGCTTATGAATTATGTATGATTTATTTCAAATGTAGTTTATTTAGATTTTCGTATGTGAGATATGAATATGTTATGTTCTTTAGGGCCTACAGTTTTACTAGAACAGATCTAGATCTACTAGAGTCTAGACTTCTGAGTCTAGAATAGCTGGTTACTTGAAGTAACTTACTGTGTAATTTATATTTTGAGTAAGACAACAGTTTTATTTAGTAAAAAAAAAAACTGTTTTATTTTATTTAATTTTATTATTTTAGAGTTCATAAACAAAAAGGACGATATTTCGAGTCGTCCCTTTGAATCCCGGACAGATCGTCCCCCCGGCGTGGCCTCAGCCAACCGGCGGGCTCGTTGCATTGAGTTAAATATAAACTCAAAACAATAATATAAACAATCTCCTTTTAGGTCGGTCAGGCCACATACCAGGCACGCACAGTGTTGTGTGTCGTGCCTTAACCAAAATAAACTATCTCCCTTCATTATCATTAGATATATTTAATTAGTTAATTAATTAATTAGCTAATTTATAAAATTATGTATGATGCTATAGCAGTAGGTAAGTTACGGTAAGTATAATTTTTTTAACTATGTATTTGTACTATAAAGAAACACCTTCGTTGTTTGAATACCACCCCCTCCCCTTCTTGAACTCAAAGTTAAACTTTTAACCCCGTTCGTAGAGACATGCGGTATGTTGTAAGGCGGCGGGTGGGTAGGGTATATACTCGTTGAAGAAAAAATCCAACGTGGTGCGTGTTATTGGCCTTGGGCCTTCGGTGACGTTGTTGGCGTTTGCTGTGAGGGGGAGAGGGGTGTGTTATATCCGTTTAAAAAAATCGCAACATGGTATTGGCCTATGATGACGTCGGCGCAAGCGGGGAGGGGGGGGGGGAGACACTTTTTTTTTTTTTTAAAAACAAGAACTAGGCGTTTAAAGGCTGTTATGAAAATCAAGGACTGGTATAGCCATGATGTCGAATTTAACGAGTGATGCTTGCTGGGTCTATCATACGATTGCTTGGCGATGGGAATCTCGCCAAGCTCAGTTTATATTTACAGTGAACTATTGGGATGCTGTCATGCACAAAGTAACAGCTACCGAATGTAGCACTTAAAACATCGAGTGCACCCCGCTCATTATAAATTTGAAATACAAGTTATGGATTGCCCAAAAACTTGAAGGACTATCAGAATATATGCATTGTATTATAACATTAATCATTACGATATAACTAAAATGTGTATTCAAATATTTTTTGGCTAACAGGATCTGCATTTAAATAAACAAGACCTATTAGGCTACTTTTGCATGGTAGCACAACTACATTTTTAGATTTCATAATGAGTAGCCTAGTCGTGCATTAAAGGGCTGTACTCAATAACAATGAAAAAAATGAAATGCCGGCTTCAAACTTCAAGCTATGATTTCCCCGTATTCTTCTACTAGAAATATAGCTCCGTTGTTCTAATGACCTCACCCTCCTCCTCTCACCTAGTTCAATTTAAGGTAAAGTTACACTTTCAACCCCGTTAGGATGCGTGAACTGGTGAACCGCGTGAACTACTGATGACCTAACTTTTGAAAAAAAAAATATTCTGGCGTTAAATTGCCCTCCCCTACTCGCAGCACTTTGGGGCCATACACACCAGGAAGGTCTAGGTCGGTGTTGTATCTCGTGCAAATTTACTCACAACACGACTACACACTATGGTTGTATCCAGGACTAAAGTTGCGACACTCGCATAGAGTTGGATTTATTCGTTAGATCATTGTGCTTCAAATTCTGTTTCAATATTGGATTAGATGGATATAATGTTGGAATTCAGTTAGTTTGTTATATTATATTTATCTAAATGTCGTGTACCATCAGAAACTAAATTGGTTGACAAGACACATGTGTAGGCTAAAGAATGACCTCTAGATCGAGCCAAAGATGGCTGTTAAGGTTGACAAACTGTGGTTTTCAAATTTCTTGGTGATGCTTTTCTAAAGGATTTTATTTTGTGCTTTCTTTGGGATTATTTTGTGTGTTGTGATTATTCACAAGTAATTTGTAAGTAGAAGCTTTTCACATCCAACCATTTTAACAGTTTGCGATTGATCTGCGGCTGGGCTGATTAATTTACATTTAGCAAAACTACACACTACACGGCGCCCTCAGGCCGTTGTTTCAGCATGCCCTACTAGTCAATTATAGACAAGTTTAGAATCAATACATAGAGCCAACACACCGACTTTTATTTAATAATCTTCAAGAGCCATTCCTCTAGGGTCGTTATTTTCACGAAATTGTCGTTTTCCATTTTGTTGTCAAGAAACTGGTATTTAGTTCACGAGAACGTATGAAAACCACTCATGCGTGACCGAAATCGACGATTGGGTGCCTTCACGTGGTTTGACACGTGTTGATCTAGGCCATTGTTTACATCCAAAAATCACCCAAAACGGCCTTTTTTCGAAAAATTTGTTTGAAAAAATGGCTAAGTCCAGTTTGAAAAAGTGTCATTTTCGGGCCCATTTTAAAAAACGTAAAAAAATCCGAACTACACGTAGAAAAAAATGGCTTTTTCGGCCCTTTTTAGCTCCAAAAACGCGTCGCGTGACGTCACCGTGACGTCAGCCGCCAACCAAAACGCGGAGAAAGCGCGCGTTTGATTGGTTGGCGGCTGACACTATGAAATCCTCTAAGGACGATTCGAATGGTATACCAACAAAAATTATTGATCAGAAATACTAATAGTAATAGGCCTAAGAGGTAGAATCTACATAATATATAGAGTCTAGTCTAATTCCTATTGTGTAATGCTATTGAGAGATGCGTCACAATGACTCAAAGAGATATTTGAAATTGTTTGTTGAGCACAGAACTCAGTACTGCACTGACTGAACTGTAAAAAAAAGCAAGAAGATGTGATGGGAATGAGACGAATTTATTTTTCTATTATGAAAACTGAAAACAAAATATTACCACCTGCAGCTCAAGACGATCGATTTCCATTCCTTCACAGGAAACCTTCATGAAAATTTAGCAAAAGCATCCTTAATTAGCAGAAATTCGAGTTTACTAAAAAGAAATCTAGGAATCCATTTTCCTATATTACCAGAAGTAGAATCTAACCCCTTTTGAGAGAAACCAAAAATAAATAAGGCCGCAGTTCTTCTTCCGGTTTATGAAAAAAAAAATCCACCAGCAAAACTAACTGTATGGATGTAGTATAAAATGTGTACTTTTTGCTATGCAGACGTAGAATTTAATGTATGCATTTATAAACCCATTTTTATTTTATCTTATTATTTGAATAGCTACAACTACTAGAGTTAAGACTTATTCAAGCGTTGATTAATAATATTGGGCATTTTAAAGTTGCTTTTCTTGATAATTGGAAAAAGTACCAGTCAGACAATAAGGGGTCATCCATAAATGACGTCACGCTTTTTAAAACGATTTTTACTCCCCCCCTCCGTCACACCGCGTCACAAAAAGCCAGACCCCCCCCTAAAATGACGTCATACCTCAGTCTATTACCCCCTCAAAATTGCTGTTGAATTTTTCTTAAAACATCGATATTTTACCAAAATCTTTACATAACTCTGTCAACATGGAGTATTTTGATCAATTCCTATTACAATTTATTAAAAACGTTTTCTAAAACGCGAAATAACGGCTAAAACTCGATGTCTAATATTGCTTTTTTTATAATGCAAAAGTGTGACTTCACACCATCTAAATCCCCCCTCCCCCTCATCACACACCGTCACAAAATTACGGACCCCTCCCCCCTACGTGTGACGTCATTTATGGATGACCCCTAAGACCTAAATATTAAATAAGTTAAAAAAATCTCACTCATATCACTTGGAATAACACATGAAAAATTAATTATTGTTAATTGCAATATTAGAGGACCTATAGTGGCAGCACACTAGTTAATAAAAGTGTTTTAGATGATTGAATGCTGTGAGTTCGCTAATGGCTCGTTCTATTGTAAATCCATTTGGGGAAGGGGGGGGGGGTTGTCCATATGTGGCGGCACATACTCCTAAAGAGGAGGGTCCAGACTTAAGTGTTGATGAGTGATGAGGGTAGCAAACTCAGAAAATTTGACACCAGTGTTTGAAAGGGAAATTAGGAGTGGGGTAGATGTGGACTGAAGTGTTACATCATTTTAATGGGGTGTTGTGACACTTGTACTCCTGCTGCCTGTACCTTACCCATACCACAGACACAAATGAGTTTGGAAAGGTTTTTTTTAATATAAAATTTTGCTTTGAAATACATTTACATAAAAAAGTCAGTTTTCAAATTACCGCAATTTAAATATAAGAAAGCTGTGGAATGCCAAAGAGTGGTACTTACAAAGTGTAGAATAAGCTCCATAACTCCAGGTAATCGTCAGGTTTCACCCCACCCCCAACGGAGCCCCCCCAAAACACTGCTATCGCACTTAAAGTTACAGCTATTTGCGACACTGGGTTTCTTTCATTTTTATTGCTTACAATTTTAAGTTTGAATATAGTAAAATTAACCACCGTCTCCTCTAGGTGTTTGAACAGGGTTTCTTTCAGACATTGTCTCGTCTGGATTAAGGTGGGGGGGGGGGGGGGGTCTTGAAACTTCCTGTGGTGGTGGGGGACACTAGAAATTTCTGGTATGGGGAGTTAAAGTTAAAGTATATATTTTCTATGTAATATATTTTTTTCCATTTTGTCCATGGAGCGGTGGCAGTGTCTCCCCCTACTCTGAGAGATGCATAAAACAGCAGTGTTTGACTTAATTAATTGATGTTAGGCATGCATATAAGGAGTTAGTCTACTCTGTTTGTGTAAAGAGTTAAGAGAAAGCAGTATAGATCATTGTTATCTCATCACAAAGCAGCTACAATAACTGGGCAATAAGGTAAAATAAAATTTCAAAAAGTGAAGTTTTAAAAAATGTTTCATTTGTCCACAGGCAAATATAGATCTAGTTATCTACAGTGTTTACCACTGTACTGACACCTCACCCTTCTGTGAAGATAGGAGGCCTTGACATTGATTATTGAGTTTACCCTAGGCAGGTTGTTATTATGACATTGATCTTAGAACAGTCACTGGATGGGGGGAATAGAAAGGGTTTCTTTCAAACATTTCTAATGGGAGGGGGGAGGGGGGAATTTGATATTTTTGAGGAAGAGAGGCTGCACTTGTATAAAAATTAATAGAATTCTATACTAATCAGCATTTAGAGTTAGCTTTTGATATTAAAATAAGCAGTGCTTCTGATTTACAATTTTTACGGTGATTCATTTGCCAAAAAATACCAGCTACCTTTTGTTGATTAGTTGTCTAAGATATTGAATTTTGTCAGTTGACTACCTAATCAATGCAAATTTAATTCATCTGGCAAGATATTTTTAGCATAGGTGTTTTAAATTAACACAAAAATAAAACAAAATCACAATTAAATTTTTTATCAACAAACAGAACCAGTTTGATAAAAAACAGATGTGAGTTTATTTTTGGAATTAAATATAAATAAGCACTTGGTATAATAAAATAAATAGATTGTCATAGATTTCATAAAAATTAGCAGGCTATAAAGTTTACTCAAATAAACACTTGAACTGTTTCATCCATCAAATTATTTTTTATTTTGGCAAATAAAAGCATGTATATTGAAGTAAATTGTTTTTGAATGTCAACAATATAATTTAGCAATTCTTAAAATTCTTTAGTGATCAAAAATATAATTTAGTGGCACCGTAAGTACATCAAATGTCAATAAATAAAAATAAAATCAATGATCATTTTAAAGTAAAAAAATATCCAAAAACATGTAAAATTTTATGATATCACATTACTTTTATATTAGCAACAACAAACAACATTGTCAAAAATCAAGGAGTGTGTGTGTCATTATTGAAGGTCCCAGATGTCAGTAAGACAATCTTTATAAATGCCATTTTAGAAGCAATTGTCTATAATAAAGACAACAAAAAGCGCAAGATAAAAAATAATATAACAACAACTCCGAAGTTGAATAAGAAGCTGTTTCTTGCCAAATCACAACGCTTTGAAGGGACAGGTCTAGTCTGCAGGGGGTGCTTTATACGCTGCCACTGGGTTCTGATTGCCTCTCTTGCACCAGACCACTGCCCTGGACCACACAAGCGGTAGGTGTATGGAGTCACTGGGCCAAACATTACAGTTAGGGCCAAGACAGGATCTCTCTTGAAAATAGCCCCTGTAATAAACCATGTTTAATATTAACAAGTTTACATTTCTTTTTAGAGACAAATAAAAATAAAGTTTAAAAATGGCTGCTGGTTTCTTAACATATTTAGCCCCTATAAGGATAATGTCTAAAATTATTTTGTTCAAAACATGAATAATTACAGGCCTTCAGAAGTTACAATTATAATTCTTTTAATTAAATATTAATTACTGATATGGTAACTAATGTTCCCTCTTAGCATGGCCATACAGCAGTTTTGTAAAATAAATATATATAAAATTTTTAGAGCACAGCACACACAAAATACACGTTGCACTCTTGATAGTAACGGATGTCTTTTTTCTTATTCTAAGAACAAGAAGCAAGAAAACTTACAAAAATCAATGTTACACCCCACCAGTTCAGCCAGCTCATCCATAAAGCTAATGTAATCCACTTGAATTGTGTGGCGTTGTGTTTTGTAGTATCTTTTGGCCATGGCGGCTTCTTTTTGCCTTATGTCTTGCCACATGACAGCTTTGGAAGGCAAAACAGTTTCACCCTGTAAAAAATGTAATAAAAATTATTTCTGTACTGATTTTGATAAAAGACTTTCATAAAGAATGATGGCAAACTTAAAAAAAGAAGACTTAATAATGTATAACACTAACAGTTTTGTAAAAAGTTAGCTGTTAAATTTTGCTTAGGCACTGAAATAATCCAAGTTTTTAATCGTCTCCCTTATTCTAATGTTTTGCAAACCATCATATAGGCAAAACTTTTAAATTTATTAATTCTATATTATAATGTTTAGGCCTATCAATATAAAGATAGTATAGCCCAATTTTCAAATGTTTCAAGAAACGTGAAAGTATTTCAATTTAAAAAAAAAACAACTATCTTCTTTTTCTAATCTATTTATACCTTTATAACTCTAGTTGCCAGACGGCACTGCATCTCTGATATAGGCATAATGGCACCTAGAGGCTGGAAACAGCCAATGATGGCCAAAGATTTTTTCTCAAGTTCTGGAGGGTACATCTGCTTATACAGCTGGACCCTGTTGTCTTTGACCTCAATCACCTGAGAAAAGAAAGGTATTAGAGTAGTTGTTAACCAAGGGACACAAATTTGTTACAGCCATTAAAGTGTTAATATACATATTAAACTAATTTCACTTTAATTGGAAAAAAAGCTGCTTAGTTTTAAAGTTACAATAATACTGCATTCAAGAATAATCTAAAATAGTCTCAAATAGTAAGAAGAGTAAAATGTGAACAGCAGGACAGCATAATACTGATAAAATAAAATATGTAACATTTAATGACAGTTACAAGTTAATTATTAAAAATGAGAGGCATTAGAGCTAACGTATTAAAACAAATCAGAGAATAGAATAGTCTGGAGAATTAGTGCAAATTTCATGTACAAATATATATAGTTCAAAGTTTAAATAAAAAATTGGTTTGAGAGTTCTTGAGCTTAATGAAGTAGCACAAGAGTTACCTATATGAACTAATGAGATTGTGTAAAAATTAGATTACCTCCTTATCTATGAATGGAAATCCAAATGTATAGCCAGTAGCAAGTAGAACAACGTCAATGTTGTCTTCAGATGTCCCGTCCACAAACTCCACCCCAGTTTCTGTGAAACATTTGACGTCTGCTTTAATTTTGATGGAGCCGCAGATAATCCTATTTGGCATGTCGTCATTGACAAACGGGTGCTGTTGAAAAATCCCATGCTCAGGTCGGAGGCTGGAAAACATGTCAAGGCCGGTATATACAAAATATTTAAGGAGGGTCATAGGTAATGTTAGGTTTGGGTTAGATATTTTTTAATGAAGCCAATTTAAAGTATTGATTTTTTCTCTACTTCAAATTTAATTACAAAATACATAATTTCTAAAAAACAACATTACCATAGTATAATTAGCTACCTGTAAAGACTATGGTCAATTTTCTGATTGATCTTTCTCTCCTGATATTTGCTGATCAGTCCAGGAAACATTTCTACAAGCTTCATTAGAGGACGTCTTGAAAACAACATATCCACAGGGTAACCCTGATCCGCAACTCTGTTCAGGATCCATGTGCCTCGTCTGGTACTTAAAAACACCTGGCAATGTTATATAAATTTAAAATTGACATTTTGGTTTGATGTAGATATGTTCACTGAAAAATGTTTATTTATTTTAAGTTGTTTCTCATCCATCATTCCTGAGTGTATTATTATAAATTAGGATCGAAGGTAAATTAGTCATAATCCCAAAAAATAACTTTGATACATTTTACAGGCTGTCTTGTAAGTATTAAGTTTTGTATTATTTAAAAATAAAGTGTAACTATAAAATGGACTAATTAGAGCAGATGCATGTATCTAAGAAAACTTAATTTTAAAATACTGGTGTTAGAAATCTGATATTGCATTTGAGTTCAACAATAATGTGGGTGAGGAAGAGTGTCATTCTGTTAAATGTTCATCAGTAATTCACAAAATAAATAAGTTCATAATAAGTAAAAAACAAACGCTAAATTTGGATTAAACAAACAATATAACACAGAAAGGTGTGTTTTAAAAATTGTCAGCCATACTTGTGATGCTTTTCTGCTCAACTCTACTGCCACATCACCTCCAGAGTTCCCAAACCCGATAATCAAAACTCTCTTATCATCATAACCATCTGGCTTTCTGTAGTCATGTGTGTGAACCACCTGCAAACATCAATTCTCTTTGTTGATACATTGTCTGTGTTTTATAATATACTATAGTTTACATTTACTTAAATTCTCTAGTAAATATTAAATCTCTAACACATAATAATGTTCTGCATTTGTTGTCAATTATCTTAACTTAAAGCAACTCTTGTATTTCTGCCCATCTTATCAAGTCCTAACAAAACAATTATAAATAAAAATAATACTTTGTTTCACAACTAAAATCAAGGTTAATATAAAAGAAATTATTTTCCTAATCAAGAATTTTAAAATTATTTAGTTGCAATAAAATCAAATGTCATTACTATAGTATAAAGAACTACCTATAAAGACTATAGTCGATTTTCTGGTTCATCTTTTTCTCGTGGTTGATAGAGTTAATATGTAAGAAAATCAAACTAGGCAAATCTTACTTGTCCCTTAAATTTGCTGAGTCCAGGAAAAGTTGGTACATATTTATCTGCATGGTGTCCACTACAGACCAGAACCCCATCAAATATCTCGGATTTCTCCTCCTTAGTTTTTGTACTGCTGTATTTGACCTCCCACTTCCCAGTAGCAGAGAAGTTGTCTGCTCTTGTCACCAATAAAATCTCTGTACTGAAGTTTATGTATTTCTCTAGGTCAAACTTTTGGGCATAAAGCTTGAAGTATTCATAAACCTATAAACAGTAAAAAATAAATCATCATATGAAAAAACATTTTTGGTGAATAAAAACTTCATCATTCAATATTTTTTAAAAAGCAAAAAGTTTATCAAAAATAGTACCAAATAAAAACAAATTACAATATACAAAACCAAAAAAAATGTTATAGGCCTATTAACGAAAGGAATGGAAGCCACTTTAACCACATATAACGACTCTAACTCATAAGTTCACACTAACTAAATAGAAATCAACATTTATAATCTTATGCTTATACAAATTTCAAAGCTGATATTTCCAAAACCTGGCTGAATCCTAGTAAAACAAAATCCTTAGCCAGGCCTAAACCAACCAGTGTAGATATTGTACTGAGTTACAATACAAACCCTAAACAGAATATAAATTTAGGCGTGTTTTTCTTCTATGGCTGCCGCTTTGAAATATAGAGTATGAGGTAATGAAATGTCTAATTTCAAGTCTTAAAATCCAAAATATCTAAAATTGATGGTGTTATGCACCAGGGGAGAAACAAAATGTCTGGTAGAAAACCACAGGCTTAGCAGCTGACAATATGGGTGTGAGAAATGCTTGATTAGGGTCTGCCTGGCTTAAAAGCATTTCTCCAGCTGGTAAAGCTCATATAAGAGAGAGAGTGATAGCCTCTAGCAGTAGGCCCTAATTTACCTGTGTGTTGTGCATAAATACAGGATACTTTTCAGGAATGGGGAAGTCGCTGTAAGACATCATCTCTTTACTGGTGTTGATGACAGTTGACTTCATGACGCAGGCCTGCCCATCTACAGTTTCATCAGTGTACCGCCACAGCCCACCAATGTGCTCCGTTCTTTCAAAACATACAGGTGTTAGCCCCTCATCCAGGCAGGTTTTGATTGCAGTAAGCCCGCTAGCACCTGCGCCAATAATGGCAACTCTTTTGGATGACATGGTTGCTATTTCAAAAAATTAATGAAAGTGTAAGAAAATTATGAAATGCAATATATATATATATATATATATATATATATATATATATATATATATATATATATATATATGTCTAAATATATATATATGTCTAAATATATAAATAGGAATATATATATATATATATATATATAGGAATATATATATATATATATATATATATATATATATATATATATATATATATAGGGCCTATATATATATACCTTTATATATATATATAGGGCCTAGGCTATATATATATATATATATATATATATATATATATATATATATATATATATATATATATATATATATATATATATAATGGTGTCACCCCCCAGAGGCGTAGCGACCCTTCCTGGGGTCAAACTTTCAAGTTTTTGATTTGCACCCCCCCCCCCCTCAAACTTACGACTTACACCCCCCCAAGTTTTCGATTTGCACCCCCTCAAACTTTTGATTTGCACCCCCCTCAAGTTTTTCTCTAGGCCTAAATATATTTTGCTATTTTTTTGCCTTGGTGTCACCCCCATAAAAGGTGTCACCCGGTGCGGTCCGTACCCCCCGCCCCCCCTCGCTACGCCCCTATATATATATTTATATAGGCCTATATATATATATATATATATATATAATATATGTAGTCCTACCTATATATTAGGCCTATAAGATTATTTTTTATTAACCATAATAATATAGAATATAGGCCTAAGGCCTAAACTACGTAAAATTAGTTCAGATTTAAATATTATTAAATGATAAAATAGGTCTACATAAATTCAATATTTACAGCTCCTGGAGCACACTGCCAGTAACTGTAGCTTATTAACATGAAGGTTTTAGTTATTAGTATATTGAATAAGTCAAGATAAGTCCTAAATTTAAGGCTTAAGGTATTACTAGATCTAGATTAGGATCTCTGTCTTTATCATCTAGTGACACCTAGATCTAGAATCTAGATTAGTAGATCTCTAGATTTTTAGATTAAAAATTTTTAGAATCTTTCTTAGTCTAGAGTCTAGATCTAGACTAGAGACTATCAATATCATCTAGCTAGAAGATCTAGAATTCTAGATTCTACTAGGTAACTTTAACTAGATCTAGAACTAGATTAGCTAGATCTAACTATTTCTAGTATAGGCTACAGGTTTATTTTTTATGTGTCGGTCCTGCACACTTACGCAAGTTGTAGACTGTGTAGACTTACGTTCTGGTACAACTATGTTATGCATTGATTGTGTGCAGCTTTCGTTCAATGAGTTCGTCGCGGTCTAGTTGTTGACCTCTTTTTATTCTAACCTTTGTACTGGAAGGGGACGCTACCGAGAAATCAACATTTGAAATAGTTAATCATGAATTGTTGTTAGTAGACCTACAAAGTAGATTCTACATAGGCCTACTCAAAAAAAAAAAAAAAAAAAAAAAAGAAAAGAAAGAAAAAGAAACAAAAAGTTTAGGCATTTGATGATTTTTAACATTTTAATTAGTTTAAAAGTGTTGAATTTATTAAAAGCAAACTAGCAGGCCTAGGGTGTTGGGAAAAATTCCGGTGGGATTAGCGTTTTTTTTTTTTTTTTTTTTTTTTTTTTTTGTATTTCTCCAATTAACCATGTCCATTCTTTACTTCATACCACCAAGGCGTAAAATTCAATTTGAAGGGGAACAAAAGCACAATGCACATTTCAAAATTTTAATCGGATATTAGGGTTCCCTTTTCTAAATTTTCTTGGGCCTCTGTACACAGCAGTCCACCCCTGAGCAGGTCACATGACCATGAACGATTTCCTCCGTTTTGTCACAAGTTGTCACAGGAATGACATAATTCACATGAATCAAATCTCAGCATCCTCTCGCGTTGTTTTTTAATGCATGATTGATTTATTCACTTTTCAACACCCATATAATCGCTCTATCATTAACGAGTGTGCAATTAATAATTAATTTGTTGAAATAGCGTTTGGGTCGTCCTTAAATTACCTTCGATTTTAATCGCCCCCACCCCCGCCCTTATAGTTAATCATCGTTGTTAAAGAAAGTTAGACGTCAAAATAATGTGATAAAATTCGTCTGTAGAATTAAAACCATAATTATAATCACAGGCGTAGCGAAGGTGGGGCGGGGGTGCGGACCGCACCGGGTGGCACCATTTGGGGGGGGGGGGGGTGACACAATGAAAAAAAAGTAAAATATACAGAAGAAAAATGCTTTTTTGCCAGTTCCATTAATGATTAATTAAAGTTAAATAGTCTTATAAGTATACCATGACGGGTGACACCATGACGTAAACGCGCTAACTAGTGAGAAAACAATGCTGCATCCATTTGTATTATTAACAGACTAAAGATAGCCGTCGTTACTATTAAGTCTGCAGTGATTAAAGCTTATACACATACATGTACACGCATGTGGCATATATTTAAATTATAGGCTTATGTAGGCCGATTTTATATATATTTCTGGGGGGGGGGGTGACACCACGAAGTGCCGCACCGTTATAATTGCCGTGCTTGCTTTTATTATCTTCTTATTTAAGATAGGCTTTATACCCTACGCATGTGGGTCGTATACACGGTATGGTACACACACTTATAGATCAGAAGTGGGGCAGGGGTGGTTAGCGAGTATGACGACACACTTTTTGCGATTAATTTAAAACAAAATTAAACTTTTCCAGTTAAATGAAAATGCCCACAGGTGGAGTGGCCACCCCCTTTGCACCCCTCATAGTAACGCCTCTGCGGTCAGGTCTAGACAGCTGGTCATTAAACTACGTTTTATTTCTAAACATTATTGATGTCGCAAATAAGAAGTTTATCTCAATTTAGATTTATAATTCGGTGGATTTTTTTTGTTTGCATTTGCGGATTATCAAGGCCACGGCAGTTTATTCACTTCTTAATCCCTATTTTAAACCATATAACATCTGCCTTCAACATATGTCGCGGCTACTGTTGATTGAGTGTAGGCTTACAACTGTTGTAAAAAATGTAGAGAAGTGTATGCCTATTATGAACTTACATCGTGAGTGTTAAAAAGTAAAGAATCCTCTTTAGACCTAGCGATCCACAATGAAGTAGAGTTTATGAAGGGTTAGCAGCAGAGGCGTAGCGAGGGGAGGGGGGGGGGGGGCGGGTGGTGCGGACCGCACCGGGTGACACCATTTACGGGGGTGACACCAAGGCAAAAAATAGCAAAATATATAGAGAAAAACTTGAGGGGGGGGGTGCAAATCGAAAGTTTGAGGGGGGGATTGCAAATCGAAAGTTTGAGGGAGGTGCAAATCGAAAAGTTGAAAGTTTGTAGCCGGTAAGGGTCCCTACGCCTCTGGGGGGGGGGTGACACCATTAAGTGCCGCACCGGGTGACACCCGACCTCGCTACGCCACTGGGTAGCAGTCTACTGCTTAGGCCAGGCCATCCCATACATCGCCAGTGTTGGTTTACCTTTATTTAGAACTTTTGGTGATTAAAAAAAAACCGTTGCGGGTCATTTGCCCAGTCAACCAAAACTGTTTTTCCCTCCAGTATCGTTAACCTAGTTCTAACCTTAAACCCAACCATGGTCATAACCCTATCCCTGACTTTCACATCGATACATGCTGAACAAAAACGCGATACGCTGCTGTTATCCATCGTTTCTGCTCCCGTCAGGCTAGAAGATCTACATAGTATCAGAGGCGTAGCGAGGGGGGGGGGCGGGGGACATATGTCCCCGGGCGCCGATCTTAGGGGGGGGCAAATTGAAAGTTTGATGGGGGGGGGGGATGCAAATGAAAAGTTCGAGGGGGGTGCACATCGAGAGTTTGAGGGGGGGGGGTGCAAAACGAAAGTTTGTCCCCGGGCGCCGGGAAGTGTCGCTACGCCTCTGCATGGTATAGCATTAAAACAAAAATTATTATTTCATGGTTTTAACTTTTTGTAAGCTTTTTACAAGTCCGTTTGTTAGTGTGCGTATGGTTTATTTTGTAGCTAAGTTTTGAGGCATTTTTAAAGAAGATATTCGTGTTGGACTTGATAAAAAAAAATCAGCTAAAATTACGTGACACTTACGGACGACACCTTACATTAAAACTCTCATTCACAATTTTTTTTTCTACAACTGCACCAACTCACAGGAAGAAGTAAAATAATAAAAAAAACAAAAACAAGACAAAATTCTGGAACTTTCTCTTTCGATTTTTAATAAACAATATAGTATTAGGTTTCTATTGTACATTTCTTTTAAGAATACACAGATGGTCAATATACACATTGGTCTGTTTACCCAGTGGCAGTGTACAACAGTTGTCAGTTTAGAGAATGGTCAGTTCACGGAATGGTCAGTTCACGGAATGGTCAATTCACAGAATGGTCAATTTACGGAATGGTCAGTGTGCAGAATGGTAAATAAAATGGTCGTTTATTTAAAAAATTCTTAGTATTCTGCATATTATAAAAACAGTAACTCTAATTAAGTCGTTTAAGTATGTAAAAAATTTGCAACGTTCAGTGTAGTAACTGGTCAGATTATGTAGTTTGTCTAGCTATCAATGATCACACCGTTTGGTTTTAGTATGTCTTACTACTTGTCTCTTAATAATGAGTTTTTATTTGTTTATTAACCACACCAGTTTACCGTAGTCGAAAAACTTACACATGCATCGTTTAAAATGTCATTTATTGTAAGAGGTTCGTGGTTAATTCCTACTGATCAGTAACCATAGTTCATTAAAATGGTCATTTATCGTAAGTATGTAGAGGTCAGTTCCTATGTCAGTAAATAAAGTAAGTTAAAATGGTCATTTATTATGTGTCTTGGTCAATTATACTGGTCAGTAACCATAGTTCGTTCAAATGGTCATTTAATGCATCTATGTAGCGGACAGTTCCTAATGGTCAGTCGTAGCTGTGGTCAGCAAATCACGTGGTCAAACAATGGTCAGTATACAAAATGGATGGCACACCCCCCGGGTAAGTATAAACAATGGTTAAAAAAACACAAAAATATCGGGATAAGAAACGTGGAAATATGTGTCATTGTTAATTAACATGGATAAAAAAAGGCTAGATTTGGTTAAACGTACCACACCGGTGAAAATATTAATCTTGATGTAGCTATTGTAACTAGCCCTAAGCCTAACTGGGTGGTGTGGTACGGCTAACCGAATAGTGCCGGAAAATGGAGCAACAATATAGAAGGTGAGGGCTGGATGACCACAGGGCCTATGGTGAGAGGCGATACTCAAATATGATAGCAGTGATAAGATACTCATACATGATAGCAGTGATAAGATACTCATGTATGATAGTGATAAGATACTCATATATGATTGCAGTGATGAGATATTCATGAATGATAGTAGTAGTGATGAGATATTCATGAATGATAGCAGCTCTAAGATACTCATGCATGATAGCAGTGATAAAATGATGCTCACGTATGATACCAGCTATAAGATACTCATTCATGATAGCAGTGTATGATAGCAGTGATATAATGATACTCACCTATGATAGCAGTGTATAATAGCAGCTATAAGATAACCATGCATGATAACAGTGTATGATAGCAGTGGTAAATGATTCTCATGTATTGTAGCAGTGATGAGATACTGATGTATGATAGCATTGATGAGATACTGATGTATGATAGCATTGATGAGATACTGATGTATGATAGCAATGATGATATACTGATGTATGATAGCATTGATGAGATACTCATGTATGATAGCATTGATGATATACTGATGTATGATAGCATTGATGAGATACTCATGTATGATAGCATTGATGAGATACTCATGTATGATAGCAGTTATAATGTACTCACGCATGATGGCAGTGCATGACATTAGTGATAAGATATTCATGTATGCTAGCAGTGATAAGATATTTATGTATGATAGCAATGATAAGATATTCATGTATAATAGTAGTGATAAGATACTCATGTATGATAGCAGTGATAAATTCAAGGATACAACCTGTTTTATTGCCTTGGTAGAAAGAACATTCATCGACAATATGAACTACTGGTAAGTATTTAATATCCATCACAAAGCTTTGACATGTTTTTTTTTGCCGAAATATACACTAATGATAAGTGTATGTGTGCATACATTTGGAAGCATAAATAGAAAGGTAATTTTAAAAAAATAACTACATATTATGGAGTAGTCACATTTCATACCATAGAATAATCACAGAGTTTTTCAAACAAACAGTAAAAAAAGACCCAGTCCATTTCAAATGTAAATTAAAAGACTTGTTAAAATTTAAAGTGATTTAAAAAAAAGAGTATCCTAGTCGATATCAAATTATGACGTTAATTTCTTAAAGCGTGTAGGTTATATTAAAGTAGGCCCTACATAAATTAATTAGTGACACATTAAATTACAATATTAGAAAATATTTATGTTTTGAAAAATAATTAGATTTTTAGATAAATAATGTTTAAATAAAACCAACAACCCTCGAAATATTAAAATATTAATGTATACATATTTAAACACAATATAATTTTTTTGTTTGCAGTTTTTAAAATATTTTTCAAGCATTTGTTCCATTCTTTCTGTGTGTATAAGTCGAAGATTTTTAACTGCTCCACCAGTTTACATCAGTGTTCGGTAAAATTAAAAAAGATGAGAAATCGAAACAATATTTGATGCCTAGACCAGTGCACCTAGCGTCATTTTGGTGTCAAATGTTAGTTGTCAACAAGAGTTAACATCAAGACAAATGTTTCTATGGAAGGGATTAGTTATTTTTGCATTAAAATCTGCCCCAATTATTTTTTTACGCCGTATTTCATCAACTAGTGGGGAAAAAAAACAACGATTAAAAGTCGTAGAAAAAGGGACTAAGGAAACTGAAGTTAGATTTACAGAAGAATTTAAGTTCCGGTTTCGATGTTCAATACGGAAGACAATATAAAATTAAAAAAAAAAAAAGAAGCAAAGTGATATTTTTTTTTGTCGTAAAATCTCTATACTTTGAATTAAAAAAATTATCCGAAGTTTTTTTTTAAATGGTGGGTATAATTATTACTGTGAAAGGGCGTTAAAAAAATAGAATAAATTTTAAGGTGAAAGTATCCAAGTAACTTGATCAGTGGTGTAGGCAGAAGACGATAGCACCCGCCCCCTTGAACCCCAAAATGACAGCGGTCTCAAGTTAAGTGAAAATTATTTTGGACAGCGCGTTAGTTGTCACTTTCAATGCTTTCATTTTACAAATTCTGAATATCAAGAATCAAAATTTTACTTCCTTTAAATTGTTAATAATCATTTATCTATATCTATCTATCTTAGTATCTCTCTCTCTCTATATATATATATGTGTTGGGCAAAAGCTTAGCCCCCCCCCCCCTCCACTTCCCCATAACAAAATCCTGTCTATGCAATTAGTTCACGCTCTGGTCTAGACTTGTGTCTGCTTGATTGGACTTGTCTCATTACGGGAATCTGACGTCCCCATTTGTTTTCACTTTATAATAAGTTGACATTCAACAGCGTCATTCATTAATATCAAGGTCAACACATCTGGATTCATTCATAAAAACGTAATACAAAGCATTTACTTTTTTAAAGCATAAAGGGCATTAGAAGCTATGTTTAGTAATTGCTAAAACAAAACAAAAAAGAATTAATCATTGCCAGATTTTCATTTATCCTCATACTTTCTGCTTTGAAAAAAAAGGACACGGGTAGGGATTTATTCGTTTGAATTCCTAAAGTAACAAAAGAAAAGCCATGTTTTGCAACGACAATTTAAAAAAAATTACCTTTTGATCTAAACACAGCCCCATTACATTATAATTATAGCATCCACCAACATACTACCCCAGGACATTGATTTCAAATGAATGGGTTTTTACTCTTATTTCGGTGACGGTCGGTATTTAGAATATCCAAATATTCCTAAGCTATTATGTGTCTATAATAAACCATCTCATTTCTTCATTCTAAAACTGTCAGGTTTCAAAATAGACAAACCTAGTTTTAGATTATCTTGTGCTTACACATTTTAAAGATATTTTTAAAAAAAAGACCAATGTGTGTTTTCCGTGTGATTAATTGTGTTGTTCTATCAATTATAATGTAATTACATAATAGCCGTTGATATTTTAGCTTCTTTGAAACCGTCCGTTTTTTTGATAACCAATTTGATTAAAAAATATCCGAATCTTGTTTTGGTGATCTGGTGAAGAAATACATTCATTTATTTTATTATAGCAAATCAAGTCGGACATTTAAAAAAAAATGGTCCGTATATTTAATTTTGTTGTCAGTTATTTAGAATGGCCAGACCCATTTCCTTGTGAAGAGAAGTTAAAATAAGCTTAGTTATATAAAGGAGAATTCTTTTTTTTTTTCACGGGAAAAAAATAATTGAAAACCTTACAAGTAAATTGAAAAGACACATCGGAGTCTATATTCGTGGTAGGTTTTTTTTTTTGTAGATGGATAACAGCGTAAGGCTAATCAATTAATAAACTCAGATTTTTTTTCCTCATGGCATCGTAGCTTTCTATTATAAATTGGGAAACTGGTCTTCTAAAACAAAGAGGAGTCTGAAAAACAAGGACTTTGTTTAAACTAAGATAGGAAAAATAGGGTTTCAAAAATTTTGACGTACTCATAGGAAACATTTTTATCAACATCTTTTCCCGTTCGTGTCCAAGACACAAAGAGCAGATGAAGTAGAGTTAATCTTTTTAAATGATCTCGGCATACTAGGGAATATTGTGGACAACACTATGCCCAGTCGGCTTTGTATACCTTACGTGATTCAGGGGCCCATCCGAGCAGGGTGGACTTAGGGACGTCCTACAGACTCGCGTCCGGGATCCGAACTCAGGTTAGTGGTCTAGCTCTACCGCTCAGCCACACGGTTTCCGGACAATGTTTTAGCGTTGGTAAATCAACCCAATGGTCACACATACATAAACAGCTCGAAAGGTGGCATGACTGTGTAAGAATAGTGACATACTTTATTTTGTGAGTTGGATGACAAAAAAGTTTAAAAAAGGCAATTTTAATTTTTATTGAAGGGGTGTTAGAACTTTGTACCGTCGCTTTACAAAATTGTGTGTATAGTAAGGGGGGGGGGAGTGGTGTTTTTTTGTAGCGACGTGTGAGGATTATGCATGACCTTATTAATGGATGACCTCTAAATTGAAATACCAGATGCTTTTGATGACTGTTTGTCTGACTTCTGACAAGCCTGTCTGAGCGATTGTGTTTTGATTCTTCTTCTCCCTGCTAACATATGGACAGTAAGTGTGGGGTCAGGCCATCCCTTCTCATGTACTTCAATACAAGATAGCCTCCCTTTAGCACAATGAAAATCTACCTTTCCCACCACCAAAGATAGTTTACTTCCCGGAACCAGAAATTGCGACGTTGTCATAAACACAAATAACCTCCCTTTGCCACAATAAAAATAGCCTGCCTTTAACCCAAACATCTAAACTCAACGAAGCGAAATAAAACGCTGCTATCTGTACGAAAGTAAAAAATAAATTAGTTTCTCTTAAATAGACACGTAAATAAGCCCGTTTTTCTGTTAGTTTTTTTATCCTAGACTGATTTCCTGCTAGGTTTAAAAAAATGAACTTTAAAAAAATCTTTGACATTTTGTTTACACTTTATGAAAAGTTAATGCTGTGGCTTATTTTGTAATTTCATTTTTGTATTTCCTCTTTTCCAATATCTGCAACTTGTACAGTTTTTTTTTTCGTTTTGACTTCACTCGACCCATTTCTACATTTAGAAAAAAAGAAAATTTTGTTTTGTCGCAATTGCTTCTAGTTTTCTAGTGCTTCTATAAATACACGGAGTCTATGTGAGCTATATTACAGGTGCACATTTCTACACTACAAAACAAAAATTTAATTAATAAATAATTAACTAATCAAACTCAGATGTAGAAAAAAAAGTACAAAAACACAGTACAGAAACGGTATCTTGCGTAAAGTAATCACATTTCACAAACTGGCAAGTAAACCTAAGTTGAAAAAAAAAGATCTAGCAGAGAACATGCCTGGCAATCAATACACCGGAAGCCAAGCATGGTTCGTCTAATCAGCGAAAACAAAACAAAAAAAAATCACATGTCCACATTATACCAACATGTAGCAAAAGTGAGCTTACAATGGTACACCGTGCTCACTGGTTTACGCCCATATTCACGTGACCCGTGTCATGCGTGCTCCAACCAGCCCTAACATTCCACTCACTAATTGTAATTTCCAGGTCAGGCTGACCCAGAAAATGGATTCTCACTCACCCGTGCAGTCAGACAAGAAATTTCGTTGAGCAATTGTTTTGAACTTCCCCAGCAATGGCTGCACTTAATGCGCCTGCCGTGCAGATGGATGTGCTTTTAAAACCATAATTGTACAAGTTGGGTTGATTGCTAAACCTACAATATCTTTAACATAATCTATAATCTTTAACATATTGTATTACTATTCTAACAATAGTTGTCTAAACTTACATCAACAAATGTTTATAAAATTTATAAAATTAATAGAAGGTAAATATTATTATAATAACTGCTTCAAAAAGGTAAGAAAACGATTAGTTTTGATTAAACCCATTCACCAATCGGAATAAAATTGTCGTATTTTTTGTGTGCCACTTTCGAGAAAAATTTATTTAAAAAAATACAATATTAATTTTTAGCTTAAGCTGTACCACCTAGCAGGCGTGCTCTTTTCTTTAAGTAGCTCCTGGCAATTGACGCCGTCGTCACAGTCCGGAAGTAGCCGAACTCTCCCGATGCACTCGTCGACTCCGATCTTGTTGTCGTGGTAAGCCAAGACCTCCAAGCCGATGTTTTTCAGGTTTTCCCGATGCACGCTGAAAACTAGCGCCTCGTTCCACGTTGGAGAGTTGGTCCCATGTGACGTCGATGTTTTCTTCTTCTTGATTTTTTTGGAGCCCGAGGTGAGGCATACTTTGATAAAGGAATCTGTGGAAGAGAACGAAGCACGCCATTAAAAGATATTTAACCTTTTTTTTCAGGATCAGATCAAAGGGAGATGAAGTAGATTTCACTTGTTACGTGAACTCAGATTACGTTGGGACAATGTGGTCAGCCGTTTCTATTTTGACCAGTCCTTAGTCAGGTATCCATTTGAAGTGGACTCACCGACCTCATAAGCCAGGGATTCGATACTACACACACACATAGACACACATAGACTGACACACTCGTGAGCACACACCCGCCACATAAATAACCAACTTAAAACATTGTAAATGGAAAAAAAAATCTGGCACTTAATTCTTGCCAGAAGTGCTCTACGTTCTAATAAGCAGCAGACGTCATTGGAGTCACTAGGTCGTGTGACACCTGCTGTGGTAACTAAAGGTGTCCCCCTACCTCAATGTATTTTGCATTTTCGGTTTGGTGTCACCCCTCTCCCCTTACTATTTTATTATTTAAACTAGTAACTTTTACGATTTTTTGTCTTGGTGGCACACACCAAACGATGTCACGGGGTGGGGACCACACCCCACGCTGTGACGCTATTGGTTGTAAGCAAAAAAAAACAACAACAACAACCCCACACAACAACAAATTACGGTATATTGGCAATGGTTGTTGTTGGTAATAGTTATAGTCACAATATCCTTCAATTAGTTATGGTCACAATATCCTTCAATATACCGTGATAATTGAAACATATGAACTCTACTTCATCTACCTCATGTCTTGAGCGCGAACGGGAAAATAATGATGAAGAATAGTTATGGTATTTTTAAGATTTATATAATCATGTGCCAACAAAAACAAAAGCCTGGGGGTAAACCTACCCCTACCTACGCCAAAAACAAACAAACAAACAAAAACAAACCACATACCCTTGACGCCATTCATGGCTTCGATATTTTATGAAACAATTATTAATGTCACGTTTTGATTGCTGACGATCACGTTGACATTTAACGCCCTAATGAGGCCACTTGCCACGCCGTATCACGAGTCGGTGCTACCACACCCAAGCTGCTGTCAAGGAGATGAGACACGATTCATCACCTCCAAAACAGTCGCGCGTTGCTACGCTACGGGTTTCCGTTTCTTCTGAGCCGTGCCAGGTTTAAAAAAAAACAAGAAATGTTTTCTGTTGACACCGCCATTCATTCTCAGATTCCTGAGTTGCTTCCCATGAATGATTCAACCACGGTAGAACTCGGTAATGGAATCTTCTTTTCGGATGCATCGGCAAACAGTGACAGATAAAGGTGAATAGTGAGAGTGCAGTGCTCTCCCTCTGTGTGTGTGTGTGAGAGAGAGAGAGGGGGGGGGGGAGAGCACCACATGCGAGGGATATTTCTATATCTGTCATAGATCCGATCATTGAGTAATTCACAAACAGAGCGTCATTGAATTCTTATTTCATATGAGTTATTCAATGATCCAGGGCCTATTTATAAACTTTTAGACTCCAGGCATTTCAACATCTGTATCAATCTCGAAGAATTACGCTAAACGCTTTGTAAATTAACGAATTTATTTTTATTTCCTTTATGATAAACTCTTTGGAAATAATAATGCCCGATCATTGCGTTACTTAAGAGAAATATCAAAGAGAGGGTTACTTTTCATTGACACTTGTCATAGATAATTTCATTTAATCTTACACAGATAATAGTGTTTGATGGGCTGGAGAGAGAGAGACAGACAGAAAGAGAGGAAAAGAGAGTTAGAGATGGTAAACGTGAGTGGGCTTATTATGCAGGTATTTTACTTTTTTAATCATCACCGGATTTAGACCAAAGTTTGGTTCCTATGGTGCGAGAGTTCTCATTAAATTCACAAATCTCCCATCCTGGGGGTAGCCGGGTATTGATAATCCCACACGGCCTGTTTCATTCATCCAGCAATCGATAACCTGGCAACACAGCAGTGACACAATCTGTCACTTAGCCTAGCAGGTAAGTCACTCACCAGTGTGTGAGATTCATCCATGTGTGAATTGCATCAATACATGGTTTATCCACCTTTGAATGATTCACACAACTAAATATGAGATTCACCCAGCCTTGTATGAAAATAATGTAACCTCGTATGAAATTAATTCAACCTTGTATGAAATTAATTCACCTTGTATGAAATAAATTCAACCTCGTGTGGAATTCATTCAACCTTGTATGAAATTAATTCAACCTTGTATAAAACTAATTCACCTTGTATGAAATTAATTCAACCTCGTATGGAATTCATTCAACCTATTTTGTAAAATTCCCCCAACAATGAATGAAATGCATCAATCCTTTGTATACAATCAACCAGTTTTGCTCAGGGTTAGACAGGCCTGGCCATAGATTTGAGAGACAACACACTCGCCTGCTGTATTCAATACATCAACATTACTAAAAAATATTCAACACATCAACATTACAACTTTACTTTAAAAATATTCAACACATCAACATTACTAAAAAATATTCAACACATCAACATTACAACTTTACTAAAAACATTCAACACGTCAACATTACAACTTTACTAAAAAATATTCAACACATCAACATTACAACTTTACTTTAAAAATATTCAACACATCAACATTACTAAAAAATATTCAACACATCAACATTACAACTTTACTAAAAACATTCAACACGTCAACATTACAACTTTACTAAAAAATATTCAACACATCAACATTACAACTTTACTTTAAAAATATTCAACACATCAACATTACTAAAAAATATTCAACTCATCAACATTACAACTTTACTAAAAACATTCAACACATCAACATTACAACTTTACTAAAAATATTCAACACATCAACATTACAACTTTACTTTAAAAATATTCAACACATCAACATTACTAAAAAATATTCAACTCATCAACATTACAACTTTACTAAAAACATTCAACACATCAACATTACAACTTTACTAAAAATATTTAACACATCAACATTACAACTTCACTAAAAATATTCAACACATCAACATTACAACTTTACTAAAAAATATTCAACACATCAACATTACAACTTTACTAAATAAATATTCAACACATCAACATTACAACTTTACTAAAAACATTCAACACATCAACATTACAACTTTACTAAAAATATTCAACACATCAACATTACAACTTTACTTTAAAAATATTCAACACATCAACATTACTAAAAAATATTCAACACATCAACATTACAACTTTACTAAAAAATATTCAACACATCAACATTACAACTTTACTAAAAAATATTCAACACATCAACATTACAACTTTACTAAATAAATATTCAACACATGAACATTACAACTTTACTAAAAATATATATTCAACACATCAACATTACAACTTTACTAAAAAATATTCAACACATCAACATTACAACTTTACTAAAAAAATATTCAACACATCAACATTACAACTTTACTAAAATATTCATCACATCAACATTACAACTTTACTAAAAATATTCAACACATCAACATTACAACTTTACTAAAATATTCATCACATCAACATTACAACTTTACTAAAAATATTCAACACATCAACATTACAACTTTACTAAAATATTCAACACATTAACATTGCAACTTTACTAAACATAATCAACACATCAACATTACAACTTTACTAAAAACATTGAACACATCAACATTAAAACTTTACTAAAATGCTCAACGTATCAACATTACAACTTTACTTAAAAAATATTCAACACATCAACATAACTAAAAAATATTCAACACATCAACATTACAACTTTACTAAAAATGCTCAACGTATCAACATTACAACTTTACTAAAAATGCTCAACGTATCAACATTATAACTTTACTAAAAATGTTCAACGTATCAACATTACAACTTTACTAAAAATATTCAACATATCAACATTACAACTTTACTAAAAATATCCAACGTATCAACATTACAACTTTACTAAAAAAATATTTAACACATCAACAGTACAACTTTACTAAAAAATATTCATCACATCAACATTACAACTTTACTAAAAATATCCAACGTATCAACATTACAACTTTACTAAAAAAATATCCAACGTATCAACATTGAGACTTTACAAAAGCTACAAATTATTCACCATAACAACTTTCAGACGTTACAAAACCAAATAGTATTCAACACAAAAACATTTAAACCTTATTAAATAAAGCATAAAGCATTCAACGTATCAACATAAAGACTTAACCAAAGTTAAAAGTACTCAACAATAAGATTTAACTAAAACTAAGAGTACTCTAAATTCAGACCCTCTTTGAATTTATAACTCAACATTTTAGCTTTCAATGCCTTACTAACCGTACACAGACGACTATGCATACGACAAACACGTCATCTAGAGGGCTATTCCCACGACAGACGAACATTGACGTGCCACTTACAGAGCTGTATATGCGACATATTTCACTGACCCACTTTAGATTGATTATAACCAGGCGTACATCTCAAACAAAAAATACAAAAACTGATCAATTTCTAAGTTCAGATTAGGGCCTATATCTTTCTACCCAAACAACTGCTGTTAATGCACTGAAAGCGATAATTCAGCTACTGAACAAGCAGTAGCTATAATAAGAGTTTAGAGGGAAATCCCCGCAAAGGGAGATAAATCCACTCAAAAGGAGATAAATCTTGGGCAAATTATTTTCTTATCTACAGCTGAACAGTTTTAATCTTTCACAGCTTTTCAAAGTACCGTTAAAGATTATTCCCGACTACAGGATTATGGTAATCCGCGGCACAAATACACGGGGATTAAAACAATCGATTAGAAAATAAACACGTTAAATGTTAAATCAAATGAGTTAAAACTTTCTCTGCCTTGTGAAGGTCAATGATAACATGCTGTCTAAAAATGGAAATTATAAACTAAGAAAAAAAATCCCAGTATTAAAATATGTAATTATTTTGAGAATAATGTTCATTTTTATGCGGTTAATGTTGTTATT